GCTGGGTGGGGAGCGCAGGTGCCCCATGCCAAGACCGGCCTTCCGAGCCCCTGTTTGAGGTCTGCTGCTTGTGTGCAGGTAATGCTTCTGGAGACATCTCGGAGATACAACCCTGGGAGTGAGAGTATCACGTTCCTCAAGGATTTCAGTTATAACCGGGAAGACTTTGCCAAAGCAGGTAAGGACCAAGATCAAAAATGGCTTGGGCGGGGTGGAAAGACACTTCTTGTCATCGGGCTCATAGTGACTACAGAGACACAGGCCCAGGCTTTGGGTGGCTGTACGGGGAAGGCTCCACTTGTTTTTCCAAGATAGAAAGTCAGAGTGGTGTTAGGCCTCTCTCAGCTGACCCAAATAGACTTCTGTTCTCTGTTGCATTTGCCCAGTGGTCTTCACACAGTGTTTCAAGGAGCCTGGCCTGTGGGTGGGGGCTTCCATAGAAGTGTCACCTTAAAGGAGGAACAGTGACACAGGAATGTCCTTCATCCTCTCTAGCCAAACGAGAAACCATTTTTTTTTTAAAGATTTCATTTATTTATTCATGAGAGACACAGAAAGGCAGAGACATAGGCAGAGGGAGAAGCAGGCTCCTCTCAGGGAACTTGATGTGGGATTTGATCCCAAGACCCTGGGATCACGACCTGAGCCAAAGACCGATGCTCAACCTCTGAGCCACCCAGGTGTCCCAAGAAACTCCATTTAATATTGTGCTTCTGCATAATGTTTTGCTTGAAGAAAAGATTTCACAGCTAGGAAAAAAAAAAAGAGCTTGAAAAGCACTGCACTGAGCCTTTTAGTATCTACTGATGGACTTGGTTGTGCTTTTTGAGGATCTTGGGGACTGATTTTCCCCCCTACTCTTTTTCAGTTGCTTTTTCTGATGAGTTGTGGAACAGAAGCTGAAACATGGCAATTGTAGGGCAGTTTTCGGATAAGAGTGAACACTCCCATCCCCATGCAGCACCTGGAGTGTTTTCTCCAAGAATTAGTTCCCAGGACTTCTCTTTGCTCCTTGCTTGCAGGCTAAGCAGTGTTGGTTTCCTCATATTCAGTTGCTGGTAATGTTTGTGTTATTGGGGGGCAGTGGTGGGAAAGAATGGAATGCTCACAGGGTTTTGGAGGGACTAGAGCTTCAGCTCAGCAGGAGACTGAGTAGTTTAACACCTGAGTGAGTGGGTCTATAAAATAGGGCTCATGCTGTGTCTCCATTCTCAGGGTTGGCAGGTCCTGGTTTCCAGGGCAGAACTCATAAAGTCCTCTCTTTTTTCTGGCGACACAGACCAGCTCATTTGCCTCTTGTTCCCACACAAGCCATCCAGTGAGCTTTCTAGAAAGGCCTCCTTAAACAACAGGGCATGGCCGAGGTCTACTGGCATCTCTTGCTTTCTGTAGTGCCAGGTGTGCCCCTGGATTGTGTAGGCACCTAAAGGGGCAACTTGAGGACTTTTTCCAGCTTTAACAACCCAGCCTTGCTCCCTTTATCTGCCTGTTCCCCAAATGCTGCTTCCCCAGCCCTTCTGAAGCATGGTCTCCTCCTCATCCTTCCTAACATCCTCCTTTCTAAACCCTTTGCCATTCTCATGTGAAGAGTGTTCCTTCAGCACTTGCAGACTTGTGCCATCTGAATCTGCACCTATTTATAGATTCATTTATATAAGCAGTTTTGAACCATCATGTTTGCCTTTTTTAAAAAAAGATTTTATTAAAAAAATTTTATTTATTTGACAGCAAGAGAGCACAAGCAGGGGGAGCAACAGGCTCCCCACTGAACAAGGAGCCCAAGGTGGGGCTCCATCCCAGGACCCTGGGATCATGACCCGAGTGGAAGGCAGACACTTGACTGAGCCAACCAGGCGCCCCTCATGTTTGCCTTTCATTTCTTTTTTGTCAGTGAGGTCTTGGGTAGGAGGAGCAGGGGCTCTCTTTTGTCAGATCTCCGTCCTTCTGTACATCCACTACCATATGCTGCATGCAGTGGACAGCTAAAGATGTGCATGCACAGTGCTGGGGGTGTCCATTCAGCAAGTGTGAGCCGACCTGGCAGGGTACACAGCACAACTCCAGAACCTACTTATCCTCTCTGTACAAAGGGGCCGTTCACAATTTGAGGCTTAACACCTCACCAAGAAAGGCTTTATAAAATGGCGCTTGTCCATTAAATGTCTCAACACACACTTGATAAACATCAGGGTGAAAGTGCAGGAAGTGACTAATCAAGAAGCCTCAAATGGAAAAGTTAGCAGATGGTTGCTAAAAGAAATCAGAAAGCCTGGGGGACAGGGAGAGGTGGGGAGACTTTGTGATGGCAGAAGTGTGCTCTAGATGTTATGACTTTAGGTCATGGTGTGTTGAACTTCACTCTCCGCAAAAAGACTGGTTCTATTTTTAAAGTTTTATTATTTATTAACAAACACTTATATAGGAGTTACCATTCTAAGGACTCATTATGAGGTTGGTGCTGTTATTATCTTCCATTTTACAGATGGAAAAACCAAGACCCAGAGAGCTTAGATAACTTATGTAAGGTCACACAGCCTAATAAATGGCCAAGCCAGGGCTCAAACCCAGGCAGTCCGATGCCACAGTCCATGCCCTCAACCACATTGCTGTGTTCCTGCTGGGACCTGAAACATGAGGCATATCTCTAGTATTCAAATAAGGCCAATTGCCAGTGAAAAAGTTTTCTTTGAAAACAAAAACAAGAGTTTTTCTATTTCTAGTAATGTGGGGCCCCGGAGAATTGCAGTAATAGCAGGTATTATCATTTAACTCAGTACCTCCTTGTGTGACAAACACAGCACTATACATGCTTTGCATGCTTTGTGATTTAACCGTCACAACAGTCTTAGAAGTTCAGATATTCCCATCTCACAGATGAGGCTTAGAAAAGAAACTTGCCTAATGTTACCCAGCAGAGCCCTGGAGACTTCTTAGTTCCTAATAGTTCCCATAAGTTAAGGAGTTGGAGGAGAGAAGGAAGTTCCTGCTGCTGGTGCTGCATGCCCCACTCCCTTCTTCCTCCCCAGGGCTGCAGGTGGAGTTCATCAACCCCATCTTCGAGTTCTCCAGAGCTATGAATGAGCTGCAACTCAATGATGCCGAGTTTGCTTTGCTCATTGCCATCAGCATCTTCTCTGCAGGTGCGATGAGGGGCAGAAGGGAAAAGGAGCAAGAGACTTGCATCAAGTGGGGCTGCAGGCCCCATAGGGCAGGAATTGTGGGAGTGGGAGCCCTCCATTGTTGTGCTACCTGGGGAGAGGGTGGGGCATGTCCCTATTTGGGGGGTTGTGATTTGGGGTGTGGCACTGAGACCCTGGCCACACCTGCTCCTGACCTCTGTTGATGACCTATAGACCGGCCCAATGTGCAGGACCAGCTCCAGGTAGAAAGGCTGCAACACACTTATGTGGAGGCCCTGCATGCCTACGTCTCCATCCACCACCCCCATGTGAGTCTCCCCAAGTCGCCTCCTTTCCTCCTCCCCACAGGCTCATCCCCAGACACCCCTACTTCCCCTTCAAATATCCTTCCCTGAATACATCTTGCACAGCTAGTTCTCTACCCATCCCATAATTCCCCTATCCTTGCCCCCCTTCCCTGGGGAGAGACAGACACTATACTTGTCTCTCTCCTTCCCTCAGGACCGACTGATGTTCCCACGGATGCTAATGAAACTGGTGAGCCTCCGGACACTGAGCAGTGTCCATTCAGAGCAAGTGTTTGCACTGCGCCTGCAGGACAAAAAGCTTCCCCCGCTACTCTCTGAGATCTGGGATGTGCACGAATGACTGCTCTTCCCCCCACCCCCCCATATCTTCTGTTTTCTGAGGCGCCTGCCTGCTTCTTAGAGGTGAAGCAGACGGAGAAGGGCAAACATTCCTGGGAGCTGGGCAAAGGAGATCCTCATTGTGGCATTAAAGGAGAGTCAAAGGGTTGGGAGTCTGTGGCTGCTGGGCAGTGAGGGTCCTGCCAACACTGTGCTCCATTTGAAGACTGTACTGAACCCAACCCAAGACTGTGAATGGATCTGGGGGCCACTTTGCACAAGGTTCTCCAGGGCCCTGCCCGTCCTGCCTCCACCGCTTCCTGTTTTCCCCACAGGGCCCCAAGAGAAATTCTCCACTGTCATTCTGCGGCTCAGCCATAAATGCCTCGGGGCTGCCTCACTGATAGGTCTGGCGCCGTGTGTACAGAAACTCCACAAGGAAGATAGAATGAGAGAAACTATTTCTGGACCCTGCGGGTGGGGGCATGGCCATTGGGGTGGAAACCGTCCTTTAGGGTCCGCTTCCAGACGCTTAAGAGGGAGACAAACCACAGTAACAGCCTTGGCAGTGAGAGGGGACCTCCTTCAACTAAGCCCGCCCTACTGCGGCTTAGATGCCCCCTTCCCCTTTAATGATCCAGGTGGGATAGGGTTCTCTTTCTCGGGGGAAGGGGAGTGAATTTTCAGCACAAACACCCCAGCCATGCATGCACCTGTCTTCGTGCGCGCCCTCGTAATGCCTCGGGTTTTCCGTTGGTACCTAAAAAAAAAAAAAAAAAAAAAAAAAGGAGGGCCCAACAGTCAGTGCTGTAGGGCCCCAGGCCCTGAGGACCGGGAAGGAAAGTGCCTTGAGGCCAGGGGAGGGTTGGGGCTGTCAGAGGGACTGGACTCCATTTCCCAGCGGGTATCGCGGCACCGTTCACGCCCCCTGCGCTCTGCGCGCTCCCGTGTAGGTGAGCCGGCGGCCACGCCTTCCGACCTCGGCTCCCACCCCCCCGCCGTCCGTGAGTTGGTAGGGTCCACCTCCGGGCCCGCAGGCTTTGCAGCCCAGGCTGCCGGGCACTTCCAAGCCGCTAGCGGGGGGGGGGGTGGGGAATGGGGGGGGTTGAGGTGTGGGTGACGCTCAGGAAGTCTCAGGAGCAGTTTTATTTTGAGAAGCCGCTTCCACGTTAATCCACGGTTCGTCGAAAGAGGCTCTATCACCACGTCAAATTAAAATCCCTTTGGGTCCTCCCCGTGGCACGCTTGGCGCTGGGCCGGCCCAGCGCTCCCCGTCGCCTTCCCACTCCCCCACGGATAGGTGTGTGCGTAGCCGCCTTTCTCCCGAGGTTGGCTCCACCCTTCAGCGGACGGCTTGGTGCAGCCCCGTCCCCCCGTGGTGCATGGTACGGCCCCCGGCCCCCTCAGCCTCCCCCCTCCCTCACCGGCTCCGAGTGGTACGCGCCCCCCGGTGCAGACGCGGAACTGGCGCGCGCTCCGAGCGGGGCTGGCGCCCGCGAGCTTCCGACGCTCTGCTGCCGGGGGCCGTCTGGCTGGGCCTGGCCGGCGCCCCACGGCTCGGGAGGTAGGAAGGTCCGGGCCCTGGAAGGGTCTGGGGACGGGGCTCTCCGGGGGAAACGGGCACCAGGGGAAGCCACCTCTGAGGAGGCCCTCAAGGAGTTGGGGGGGGGCGGGGGTCGCGGAGGGAGGGGGCGGGGCTAGGACTGAGGGCGCTCGGGGCTGCAGAGGGGGTGCGCGCCGGTGCTCCGGGCTCTGCTCGCCGCGGCGGGCCTCGATTCCTGCCGGGGTGGCCCGGGCGCGGGTTCGGGGCGGGGGCGGGGCGAACTGTCCAGCAGGTGAGGGGGCGGGCGGGGCTGTCTTGCCAGAGGACCGAGCCGGGATAAGCACCTGGCGCGCGCGCGTGTGCACGCACACCCTATATTTGATCACGATTCGGAGACCATGTTTGGTCTTTTCGAAAAAGAAAAAAAATTTTTTTTTTGGTGTTTCAAAACTGGAGTCGAGACACTGTTTAATCTTTCCTGCAGCTGCTTGCCTCCTCATCCTCGTGCATCTTTCAATTCCACCTCTTCCTGTCCCCCCCCCCCTCTCCAACCCTGCCTATTGCCTGCCTGCCTTACTGCTCTCTTTCTCCCCCAATGCTGACTAGTCTGTGCTGATGCGCTTGCAAGGTCACTGCCTGGGTAGGAGAGGCGAGAGCCTCCTGTTGTGCTCACGTCAGCAAAGATGTCATATCGCTCTCCGGTTCCTGTGGTTTTACTATGACATCCTGCCCCACACGAGGGACTAATCCAAAGCGTTGATTATCGTGGCCATTCGTAGGCTGAAAATTCAGAGAACTTAAAAGATCTATGGATTCTAAATCAGCGTCTGGATGGAGTGGATGGTGAAGTAGGACTTCAGCAGATAGGTATGCGTTTTCAGCGTGACGCCTTTGGAATATAGGAGCTGAGAACCAGGGACCCCCCCACCCCCATTAGTAAAAACATGGTTGAGGCAAAAGGCAGAGTCTGAGGCTGGGTTGATACGAAAACAGGATGTGAGTTATAGGTGATATCAAGAGTCTTTATGAAAAAGGGAGAGAATGGGGAGAAAAGCCTTGGTTATCTCTGCAATCTGAATAACCAGAGGCAGTGACTGTTGATGAGAGATGAAGTGTGGCTAAAATTCTTTTCTATCATTAGTGCTGAAATAGTCACAAGATCTCAGGGGCCTTGTGATTCTAGAGGGAGATGAACATGGTAGAGCATGATAATGACTTGAGTTTTATCAAATGATTCTCAGTGGCAGGGCTGCTTTCCCACCAAGGCTAGAGGCTTGATGCCCTAATATGTTAGTAGAAAATGCTTTAGCTGTGATCTTTAGATTTTGGCCGGAAAGGGCTCTTGGTTTTCAGTGTAAACATAGATTTCAAGGCTCACCCTTGAGCTGTGGCCTTGTAAATTCAGTTTTACTTTAAGATACATTGGGTCTAACCCTAAGCATTTTCCATATAATTATAGGAAGAATTATGCTTTTTACCCATGTCCCATTTCATTTCTCTATTTCCCTCCCCTTCTTACTCTGCTTGGGGGGAGCAGAGATCAACTTTATAACAGTGCCCACCTTCTGCAGTTTGCTCATGACTCCATGGCACTGCAGAGAACCAAAGGACTTTTTGGATGGTGGTGATACCTAGAAATGAGTATATGGCATGCATAGAAACTTGGTTTTGGTTGCATGGAAAGAAGATATTATCTCTCTCAAAATCCAGAACTAGGACAAAGTACAAACTAAAAATAGTTTGGGGAGAAGATAGACTCATAGTTAGCAGGCGCTGTCAGTGGAAGAGGTGTCTCTAGATTCAAGGAGAATGAATTGTTACGGGCCCTGGCCGACTCTGGAGTAGCAGCTGCTAGCACTGTGCAGTCACCAAGCAGGGGAGGGGCTGTGCCTATGCTATAAATAGTTCTGGGAGCCAGAGTCGCTATGGAGACAATACTGAATCCTATTACCTGCAGGTCCTCTATTGGGAGCAAGAGAAGGGAGGGGAGCAGTATTTTGAGGATTTGAGAGTATTGCAGAGCAGTCTATTTATTATTAAGTAGGGAAGAAAAAAGATAGAACTTCTCATTATCTAAATCAAGTAGGACCTTAAGCATACAGGGATTGTGTATGTCTGGGTATGGGAGTACACGCAGCAGCCGAGAAGGGAGTGGCGTGTGTGTGTTTGTGTATGTACGGTTATGGTAATATTCGTGGTAGTATAGCGAAGGAGGTCTTAGTGTGGCCGTGTGTGGAGCACAGGGGTAGAATCCTTATGCACTGAAGATAGCCTTGTAGTGGAGTGAAACATTTTATTTAGAGAAGTGTATGGAGACCCAACAGGTCATAAATTATAATTAAGACCATGTAAGCTTTTCCTAAGTTTTGGACTGTGGTTCAGAAATTCCTCTCAGTGCCTCTCCCTGCCCTTGCAGAAATTCAGTTATTTATGCATCTAATTCTTAATTTGTACATGACGTACAAGGATCAAGTCTCATTTCTGTGTACTGTATTACTGATTCCAACCGTAGGACTAGAATAGAGGAGAAAGACTATGATTCAGCACCAAGGGCAGAGCTAGTAGCGATAGCCAGTGGGCCCCTTTCTTGCTTGAAGAGGGAAGAAAAATGGTTTAGAAGAAGCAATTGGGGCATAGATATTCTTCATCTGAGAGTGCGCAGGGTAGAGTAGCCTGCTGTTGTTATCATCTGAATGCACAGAGCATACAGTTTTTATGGTAGTTTCACATGAAGCTGAATGCAGAATGTTGGAACAGAAAGTAATTAGGTTTTCATGTAGAGGTAGGAGTACAGATTAGTGCTGATTAGAGTCTGGTTTGATCCTGATCCACTCTGGAGCTGTCCTAAAAGTGACTTCGTTTTTGTTATCATAATGACCGAGTCCAGATTAGACTAACTGGGTCTGTTATTCAGAAACAAAGCACCAGGAGTGAGGCTGGAAGTGGGCTGCTTTGTAGGGATGGGGAGGTGAGCCATTATTTGTTCTAATTCTTGACATTTGACTCTGTAAGTTCATAAGCTTAGACCAAGTGCTAGGCTAGGAAAAGTGTCATGTTCTCCCATCTGTAGTACTAAAATGGAAGAGACCTTCTTACCTATGACCCTGGCTGGAATGAAGCTGAGAGGGATGCATCCCTTAGGCACAGCGGTGGATTTTATCAGTACTTTTTTTCCTATTGGACTTGAATTTTCAGATAACATCAGAATTCCTCCTGGGAACAGTGACTCCTTGTGTGGTGCCTTGAAGTTTCTCTGAGATGAACTGATGAATTGGAGCCATGGTGCAAAAGAAGAAGTTCTGTCCTCGGTTACTTGACTATCTCGTGATCGTAGGGGCCAGGTAACCAAGAAGAGACTGATTTTTATCTTATCATTTGGGATGACCACAACATGTGTGATTATTTCTCTTCCCGATACCCACATTGTTTTGCATAACTCATTTGTCCCCTGTTATTTTTCCTTGATGGGAACATTGGTGCTAGTAGTGAAAACAGCAGTCAGGTGGATTGAGAGTATTGGTCCAGAGGAACAGAGACAGAATGAAATTGGTCTTATATAGCATCTTTGTGTTCTTGGGCAAATGTACTCTGTATACCTCAGTTTCCTTATTTTTTAAAAAAGAAAAGTATGCTGTGCTCTTTCTCTACCTGCATATGCTCTGTTGGTAATTCATTAGCTGATATACCTTTAAAAGTGCTAATCAGCTTAAGGTGTTAGTAATAATTCCATTGTTGTAATTTTCCTTGCATTTCAAGATAGGTATCTTCACGACAGCACAGACCTCATTTAGCCTACCAGCTAAATGTGGCAGGCAGCACCCATATTTTCCAAGGTCCTGCAGTTAGGTTACTTTATTCAAAATAGTATTTTAAGCTCTGTTTCTGGACTGTGGTTAAAATTTGGAACAGCATCCTATCCCTTCAGGCTGCTGAATTTCTCTTTATGTTCTTCAGGCACCCAAGCAGTGATAGTGTGGCCCAGACTCCTGAATTATTACGGCGCTACCCACTGGAGGACCACGCTGAGTTTCCCCTGCCCCCAGACGTAGTGTTCTTCTGCCAACCAGAGGGCTGTCTGAGTGTGCGGCAGCGGCGCATGAGCCTGCGGGATGATACTTCTTTTGTCTTCACCCTCACTGACAAGGACACTGGAGTCACTCGTTATGGCATCTGTGTTAACTTCTACCGCTCCTTCCAGAAGCGTATGCCTAAGGACAAGGGGGATGGGGGGGCAGGGTCCCGTGGGAAGGAAGGACCCCGTGCTACTTGTGCCCCAGAAGAGATTGGCACTGAGAGGTCAGAGAGTGGCTTGTCCCTGCAGCCTCCCAGTGCTGACTCTGCCCCTAATGTGACTCAGTCTCCTCGGGGGAAACCCCGGGCCAAGACGGGGAGCCGCTCCCGCAATAGTACTCTGACATCCTTGTGCGTGCTCAGCCACTATCCCTTCTTCTCCACCTTCCGAGAATGTCTGTACACCCTCAAACGTCTGGTGGACTGCTGCAGTGAGCGGCTGCTGGGCAAGAAACTAGGCATCCCTCGAGGTATACAAAGGTATGGTTTGCCACTGACACTTAGAAGAGAGGGAAGCAGTGAATGATGAGGTATTAATTGGTCTGTGAAGGGCAGGAAATTTCTTCTAAAGACCGAGGTCCTTCATCTAGCTAGAATGAAGTGTTGTCTTAGATCTTGATGTATGTTTAAGAATAAACTTTTGTTTTAAAAAAAAAATCAATCATTAAAAAATAACCCAAGGTCCTTCATATATCTATTATTTATTTATTTATTTATTTATTTATTTATTTATTTATTTATTTTTTAAAGATTTTATTTATTTATTCATGAGAGACACAGAGAGAGAGGGAGAGAGACAGAGGCAGAGGGAGAAGTAGGCTCCATGCAGGGAGCCCGATGTGGGACTTGATCCCGGGACTCTAGGATCTGCCCTGGGCCAAAGGCAGGTGCTAAACCGCTGAGCCGCCTGGGCTGCCCCATATACCTATTTAAACACAGTATATTAGTGCTTCCTAAGGGAAAGACTGGGGAGTTAGACTTCCTAACACAGGACTGTTTGGAGCTCGATGTCTCATGCAGGCAGGACTAAGTACTGCTATGTATACGTTTTAACAGTGGTTCTCACTCATGTACATACCCTCTGATCCTAGCCGAGCCCAGAGAGTGGGCATTTCCAGTTGTCATCATTTTTACTGTAAGGTTACACTGTGTTGCAGCGGGGTGTCAGCTCCTGGTGCTTACGTGTCTGTTTCCTGCTGTGTGCTCCTCAGGGACACTATGTGGCGCATCTTTACTGGATCATTGCTAGTGGAGGAGAAGTCAAGTGCCCTTCTTCATGACCTTCGAGAGATCGAGGCCTGGATCTATCGATTGCTGCGCTCCCCAGTGCCTGTCTCTGGGCAGAAGCGAGTGGACATTGAGGTCCTACCCCAGGAGCTCCAACAAGCTCTGACCTTTGCTCTTCCAGACCCTTCTCGATTCACCCTAGTGGATTTCCCACTGCACCTTCCCTTGGAACTTCTGGGTGTGGATGCCTGTCTCCAGGTGCTAACCTGCATTCTGTTAGAGCACAAGGTGAGAGAGCCAGCTCTCTAGACCTTTAAGGACAGGGACTATGTCTTTTTCATATGTTTGTCTCTAGGAGGTAACATGATGCCAGGTATACACCAGGTACTTCGTTGGTGTGGGTTGAATTACGGTACAATCAATGGAATGTATTCAGAGGGTTGTCCACTCAGTCGAATTATCCTTAACCAGACTGACTTAATGCTTTGGAAATATCAGTAGTTCTATTCCAATGAGTGGTCCTGGAATTGGGGGACCAAGGACCAGGAAGGTAAGGCATGGGGCAGAGATAATTGTGGAAACTGTGCTCGTGGAGCCCTAGGCATGGTGAAATGGAAATGAAATTATAGCATTGGAAAAAGAAAAGAAAGAAAAGAAAGAAAAGAAAAGAAAGAAAGAAAGAAGAAAGAAAGAAGAAGAAGGAAGAAAGAAAGAAGAAAGAAAGAAGAAAGAAAGAAAGAAAGAAATTATAGCATTGGAAACTATTTTCTCATAAACCTTATTTATACTGCTGAATGATCCTTCTATGGCTTGTGGCAGGTGGTGCTACAGTCCCGAGACTACAATGCCCTCTCCATGTCTGTGATGGCGTTTGTGGCAATGATCTACCCACTGGAGTATATGTTTCCTGTAATCCCACTGCTGCCCACCTGCATGGCATCAGCAGAACAGGTGAGTTTCAGGCGTTTTCTGGCTTTGTCACCTCTATCTTCCAACTCTGTCCAGCTCTGAGGAAGAACATACAATACCAAGAAGTTGTAAATCAGTACTCATCTTCAATCCCTTATTTTAACTTACCTGTCGGCAGAACATGACCTCATGTACTGATTTAATGGCAAAACCTATGCTGTTATGGTTTTTACTTACCGAAGGAAATGTTGGGGCACCTGGGTGGCTCAGTTGGTTAAGCATCTGCCATCAGCTCAGATCATGATCCCAGAGTCCTGGGATTGAGCCCTGCATCAGGCTCCCTGCTCAGCGAAGAATCTGCTTCTCCCTCTTCCTCTGACCCTCCCCGCTGCTGCTTCTCTCTCTCTCTCTCTCTCTCTCTTTAAGATTTTATTTATTCATAAGAGACACAGAGAGAGAGAGAAGCAGAGACACAGGCAAAGGGAGAAGCAGGCTCCATGCAGGGAGCCTGACGTGGGACTCAATCCCGGGACTCCAGGATTATACCCTGGGCCAAAGGCAGGCGCTAAACTGCTGAGCCACCCAGGGATCCCCCCGCCTCTCTAATCAATAAATGAAAAAAAATTTTTTTTAATTTTTATTTATTTATTTATGATAGTCACACACACACACAGAGAGAGAGAGAGAGGCAGAGACACAGGCAGAGGGAGAAGCAGGCTCCATGCACCGGGTGCCCAACGTGGGACTCGATCCCGGGTCTCCAGGATCACGCCCTGGGTCAAAGGCAGGCGCCAAACTGCTGCGCCACCCAGGGATCCCGAAAAATATTTTTTTTAAAAGTAAATGTTAATAATAATAGGCTACTGGCTACACTGTTGCAGGTATTACATAATATACAGAATATACATTGTTACCTTTCTAAAATTTAGAAAATTGTGAATACTGAAACACACCTACCCTCAAGAGTTTTGGAATAGAGATTGTAGACCTACATTTCCTTATCTAAAAAAAATCATGATTCGTTAAGTGATCAAAATAGGTTTAGTTTTTGTTTCTTACTCTCTTTTTTCTTTCCACAGCTGCTGTTAGCTCCAACTCCGTACATCATCGGGGTCCCTGCCAGCTTCTTCCTCTACAAACTGGACTTCAAAATGCCTGATGATGTATGGCTGGTGGATCTGGACAGCAATAGGGTGAGGTTCTTGACTGAGGTATTAGAGTCTAGGACAGGATTGTGTGTGTGTATGTGTGTTTTCCTAAATTATTTCCAGGAAGGTCCTCAGTTGGGTGATCTCTCTTGTGTGACTCCTTGAAATCATTTTTTTACATGCTTAGCTTTTATATTATTGGCTTATGAGACCCTTGGTTAGGACTCAGAGGATTTAGTTTTGCCAGGATGAAGCTATATCTGGAGCAGCATGTGTTGTAGGACCACTACACCTAGGGTGTAGATCACCTAATGGTTTTCCTGGGGTATGATTTCTGGTAAGTGGCTTTCAGTGCAGATTTAAAATGTATATTAGTAGTCTGTGATGTGAATACATTCAGACTTTGCCAGGAACCATTATGTGTGTTCACTGTAAAACTGTAAGAAAAAACACAGTCCTATTATGTAGAGATAGTCACCAGCAACATTGAGGTATATTTTTTTCTATATGTATGTGTGCATATCTTATACGTATGTGTATATATATATATTATATATATGTGTATAAGTAAAATATATTTTCACATATACGTGAAATATTCGGTATGTAACTTCCTATTTCTGTTACTTACCCTTATGTAAGAAGAATTCCAGAACAATTAAGTCTAAGATCATGCCTTTTATCTTTTTCCTGGTACAGGTGATTGCCCCCACCAATGCAGAAGTGCTACCAATCCTGCCAGAACCGGAATCATTGGAGCTGAAAAAGCATTTGAAGCAGGTGGGTGAAGAATGAAGAAAGGGAAGGGAGCAGTAGCCACTCTAGGACAGCGATCCTTTCAGATTCCAAGGGGAATAGAATTTCTTAGCTAAGAAGTGTGTCCCATTTCTGGGTGTCAGGATGAATTTCAAAAAGGGCTTTTAGATTTTTTTTTTAAAGATTGATTTATTTTGAGAGAGAGTATGTGCCAGGGAGAGGAAGACGGAGAATGTGGAGTCCAACATGGGGCTTGATTCCACCACCCTGAGATCATGACCTGAGCTGAAACCAAGAGTCGGACACTCAACTGACTGAGCCACACAGGCACCCCTCATGTCTACCATTCTTTATGGCTGTATAGCGTTCTCTCAGTCTTATCAGGAGGAGCTAGTCATTTGGACAATCTGGTTCCTTTTAGATTTCCCTCTTGAATTGATCTTTAGGTCCCTGTAGAATGCTTTCTTTAAAAATTCCTCTCTTTGAGTAATCCTTTAAATACATTTTTCATTGATCGATTTTCTTCCTCTTCTGCATGCTGAACACAGTACCTGAAGGTAAAATATGACAAGACTCCATTCATTTGCCCTTTTGTGTATGTTATTTGGGACTCCCAGTAGATGCCTCCGTTTTTCTTTTTAGGAATCCTTGTTCTCACTTGAAGGGTCTTCAGGAATCTCTGTATTGTCTTGGTTGCTCAGCAGTACCTCTAGTTACCTGTTTGGGTTTAAATGGGTCATTCTGTAGCATCCCTCTCCCTCTCACTTGCTTCATCCCTGCTGATGTAATAAGGTGTCTTGTTACTGCAGAGACTGCTGAGGATTGCAAGTTGAGGAAGTTCTCTGCCTTCCTTTGCTGTGTTTTCATTCTTGATGATTGCTTTAGTATGATTAATGAGATGGAAAGGTTGATATGTAGAATTGTACTTTAAATGTTTATAGGAGTAAAGATCCTTGGACTCATTAATCCTGTATTCTTACCCCTGCTACTTAAAGTGTGGTCCATGGACCAGCAGTATTATTGCCTGCAGTTGTTAAAAGTGCAAAATCACTTCAGATATATTAAACCAGAATCTGCATTTTAATAACATTCCCAGGTGACTCCTGGGCTCATTAATATTTAAGAAGCACTACTGATCTAGACAAGTGGTTTTCAAATTGCCCCATGGAGCCTCTTAGTGGCTAATTTAGGCTGGGAACACGGAGCCTGTGGAGTTCTGGGTTCTTTATGTCCTTCAGAGAAACTTTACTTTTACGTGTTTCAGTTGTTTATATTTTTTGTATAGATTTTAACTGAAGAACAACATTTCATGGCTAACATAAATTTGAAAACTATTGCCCTGGGCTCCAGATTTGATCAAGTTGCCTTGAGCCAGGTTGGCTTAAACTGAAGGCTACATAATTCAGATTATCTTCTAAAGGTTAAAGTATTTAGATTCTTATTTCAAACACTCTTTCCTAGGAGATGAGATTGGCTAGCTGCCCAGGAATCTGTGTTCCATAGGGGATTTCTTGTTTTTCCACAGGCCCTTGCCAGCATGAGTCTCAACACCCAGCCCATCCTCAATCTGGAGAAATTCCATGAAGGCCAAGAGATCCCCCTTCTCTTGGGTAGGCCTTCTAACGACTTGCAGTCCACACCTTCCACTGAATTCAACCCACTCATCTATGGCAATGATGTAGATTCTGTGGATGTTGCAACCAGGTATGACCAAGTTGACTAGATAATCATGAGCTCTTAAACTGGGTTCTGCTCTGTTGGTAGTTATGTTTGCCAGCTTAGTAAAAGCAAAGAGAAGAACTAGTTCCTCATACTCTCAGGCCTTTTAGACCTTGAGTAAAGAAAGAGATTGATGATTGTTTAAGATCCCTCTCCCTTAGATGTTGGAAGCCTGTGAAGTGATGGCTCGGGGAGGTGATCATAGCAATCCTTACAGTGCAGGGTGTGGGACTCGGATTATCTCACCATCCCCTTCTTCCCCAGAGTGGCTATGGTCCGTTTCTTCAACTCCCCCAACGTGCTGCAGGGCTTTCAGATGCACACACGTACCCTGCGTCTCTTCCCTCGGCCTGTAGTAGCTTTTCAAGCTGGCTCCTTTCTAGCCTCACGTCCCCGGCAGACTCCTTTTGCTGAGAAACTGGCCAGGACACAGGCTGTGGAGTACTTTGGAGAATGGATCCTTAACCCCACCAACTATGCCTTCCAGCGAATTCACAACAGTGAGTCCATCTGCCCTCTGCTCTGCCCCACCTTCTGCCCTTGTCCCCTGATGGCTCTTCCCTTTGCTGTTTCCTTTTCTCATCTGCGACCTGCTCCTTCCATTCCTATTTTGCTCTAGACTTTTTCCTGTCTTTCTTTTATGTTTTGCTTGTTTTTTTTTTTTTTTTCTCCTTGTCGGTAACTCCATTCTTTTTTTCTCTTTGGGTAGACATGTTTGATCCAGCCCTGATTGGTGACAAGCCAAAGTGGTATGCTCATCAGCTGCAGCCTATCCATTATCGAGTCTATGATAGCAATTCCCAGCTGGCAGAGGCACTGTGTGTGCCACCAGAACGTGACTCTGACTCTGACCCTACTGATGACAGGTGAGCAGTAGAACCACTTTTTAAGGTAAAGAGGCTCTCACTGTCCCTTATTGAGCATGATGGCAAAGTCTCATAGGACTTAGATGTTAGTCTTTGAAGCCTTGGTTATATTTTGCTTGATTGTTTTGTGTTAACTTTCTTATTTTATCTTGTTCCCTGGCCTTGAATTAACATTTCACGTCTATTTTTTTTAGATATATTTATTTATTTGAGAGAGAGAGCATGTCCACAAGCACAGGGAGAGGCAGAGGGAGAGGTAGACAAACAGATGTAGGACTTGATCCCACGATCCTGAAATCATAACCTGAGCTGAAATCAAGAGTTGGGTGCTTAACCGAGCCATGCAGACGGCTTTTTTTTTAAGCTTCTAATTTTAATTCCAGTGAAGTTAACATACAGCGTTATATTAGTTTCAAGTGTACAATACAGTGATTCAGCAATTCTACACATTAGTGCTTACTGTGCTAACTGTACTCTTTAATCCCCTCACCTGTTTCACACACAACCCTCCCCCCACCTCCTCGCTGGTCATCATCAGTTTGTTCTATATTGTTAAGAGTTTCTTTCTTGGTTTCTTGGTTTGTATCTTTTTTTTTTCCTTTTGTTGTTTCATTTTTTAAATTCTGCATATGGGTGAGATTGTATGGTATTTGTCTTTACTTATTTTGCTTAGTATTATACTCTGGCTCCATCCATGTTGCAGATGGCAAAATTTCATTCCTTTTTATGGCTGACTAATATTCCTCTGTATGAATGTGTATTAGAGCCCTTCCTTTTGTATTTTTTCCTAATGCTGATAGCTGATTCTTTTCCCTGCTCCTCCTTTCCATTATGTTTTTATTTTTGTTTTTATCTTTATGCTCTTCACTCTGCAGTGGCAGTGATAGTATGGATTATGATGACTCAAGCTCTTCCTACTCCTCCCTTGGTGACTTTGTCAGTGAAATGATGAAATGTGACATCAATGGTGATACTCCCAGTAAGTGTCCTTGGGGGAGATTGGCTGGCAATGGGCAGGGTTTGGGGCTCTGGGACAGTGCGGTCTGTACCTTGAATGTTGGCAGATGTGGATCCATTGACACACGCAGCCCTGGGGGATGCCAGTGAGGTGGAGATTGATGAGCTGCAAAACCAGAAGGAATCAGAGGAACCTGGCCCAGACAGTGAGAACTCTCAGGAAAACCCGCCACTGCGCTCCAGCTCCAGCACCACTGCCAGCAGTAGCCCCAGCACTGTCATCCATGGAGCTAATTCTGTACGTGAGGACTTAGAATGGTACATAAGTGAGACCTGATAGTTGGGATGTGGGCCATACCTCTATTAGAGAGATGAGGCTGAAGCTGTTAATTTGCCTCTTTCTTCACAATCTTCCTGTCTTCCTTTCTGTAGATCTCCTAGCTTAGAGCCTGGGAGACACAGTTTGACTCCAGAAGGAACTCATTAGGCTTTTTCAGGACTTAGCTAAGATCTCTCTTGCATAGTTTATAGAGACAGAGAACAGAGGTGTCACAGAGTTCTTTTCTCACATGTTCCCTTAGGATAGGAGATGGGAACCTAATAGGCCTGGCGTGGTCCTGCTAAACTGAGAAATAGGAAGGTGTCGCTGGGCACTGGGTAACCAGGTTTTATTTAATGTGGCTTTTAGGAACCTGCCAACTCAACGGAGGTGGACGATAAGGCAGCAGTAGGTGTCTCCAAGCCCCCCCCCACAGTGCCTCCCAGCATTGGCAAATTGAACGTGGACAGGCGTCAGACAGAAATTGGAGAGGGGTCAGTGCGCCGGCGAACCTATGACAATCCATACTTCGAGCCCCAATATGGCTTTCCCCCTGAGGAGGAGGATGATGAGCAGGGGGAAAGTTACACTCCCCGATTCAGCCAACATGTCAATGGCAATCGGTGAGAGCTTGGGGATTCCTTCTAGATGGGTGACTGAAGGACCTCACTACAGTGGACCCCGGGTGAGGGTTAATCAGAAATTTGGAGAAGTCTGGATGCTCTGGTTGCCTGCCATCTCAAGGTGGTGTTTTGATCTAGGCATATAGAAGTTGCGGGAAGGGAGCAGTGGCAGCAGTGTAGCATAAGGCCCACATTCCCAAGACTAGGTACACCTGCCTGGGGCTCATAGGTGCCACTGTGCATTCAAGGGCTCAAAAGATGCTGCGGCCCAACAGCTTGAAGCTGGCAAGCGACTCAGACGCAGAGTCAGACTCTCGAGCGAGCTCTCCCACCTCCACCGTCTCCAACACCAGCACCGAGGGCTTCGGGGGCATCATGTCTTTTGCCAGTAAGTGCCTTCAGCTCTCATGCCTTTGTCACATTTTCTCTATAGTAGGCCCTGGCCATGGTGGATGCTTCTTAGAACTTTAAAGGTAGAGATGGATTGGCATTATTATCAAGTCCCAATTCAGTTTGTTTGGGTGATAGTGAATAAGGAATTTTCATGGGAGTTTAGTAAAGGACAGGGACAAAGTAGTCTTTATCCCCAGAGGTTTCAGTCTATCTCAGGTAAGATAGCTGGTCAACTAAAAGGTAGTCATTGTATTTTTTTCTTTCTTTCTTTCTTTCTTTCTTTCTTTCTTTCTTTCTTTCTTTCTTTCTCTTCTCTTTCTTTCTTTCTTTCTTTCTTTTTAGAAGTAGTCATTGTACTAAACATCATATATATATTTTTTAAATTTTATTTATTTATTCATGAGAGACTCCAAGAGAGAGAGGCAGAGACACAGGCAGAGGGAGAAGCAGGCTCCATGCAGGGAGCCTGATGTGGGACTCGATCTCAGGTCTCCAGGATCATGCCCTGGACTGAAGACAGGTGCCAAACCGCTGAGCCACCCAGGCTGCCCCTAAACATCATATATTTTGTAGAAATATTCTGGTCAAGTTTGATTTGGGTCTGTATCTAATAATACCTTCTTTGCCTGGTGAAGGACTTTTTCATGAACTTGCTTTAAAATCTATATGAGGTTGACTTTTGTGCCTAGAGAATATTTCCAGAAATGAGGGGTGGTATAAATTAAAGATTGGGGACAAACCAGGGATCAGAGAGAGCCAACATCAGGGATAATTATGATTGTGAGTTTTTTCAGAAACTAGGTAGGGACAGCACCAGCTTCTGATCAAAAGTGCATTAACTGTCAGCTTTCATGTGGAGTTAGCATTGAAGAGAGACTTGGCTGTTACCATGGAAGGTGGAGAGAAAGTTGTTACTGGGTTTTGAGCAGTCCTGGCACTTTGCTCCTTTGTTTGCCATAAATTATAGACTTAGTCTTTTCTAAGTCTATAATTTAGAAAGGTAGTCCAGAAGTACTGAGATTATATTTGACAAGGAGGAAGATGGAGATAATGGTGCAGTCATCAGCTTTGATTCCTTATGCTCCTAACCCATCACTCTCACGCCCTTCCCTTGACAGGCAGCCTGTATCGAAACCACAGTACAAGCTTCAGTCTTTCAAACCTCACACTGCCCACCAAAGGTGCCCGAGAGAAGACGACCCCCTTCCCCAGTCTGAAAGGTAACTACAGTCCTCCTTCTGTCAAACCAGGATTCTCTGGGAGATATTTCAGGCCTCTAGGTGCTTGTCAGGAGCCCTGTGTATGACGACTCATTTGATTTGGCTGTTGCCCCTCATACCGCTTCTCATGGCTTTCATTGCACACTGTGGGCTCTGACTGGTTTTCAGATGGAAACAATCTTCATAGCTGAAGAAAAGGCCCTGTTATGTCATTTAGGATAACAGCAACTGTGAGATTACTGTTGCTTCCGAGGGGAGCTTTGTTAGATGTACATAATTAACAGGGATCATCAGCTGCCACCAGTCCTCTGCCAGGTTCCTACTGAACGAGCAGAGTTTGAACCTCATCCCAAGGAGCTAGCCTGCTGGGATGGTTGTGAGAGCCTGGCAGTGTTTATAGAGCCAGGAAGCCTCTTACTTTGGCTTCATGTCAACTTGTGCCCCGTGGGTGCACCAGGTGGTATTGGTTGGCTTCTAAGAGCAGTTAAGACCTTATTTAATTTTCTTATTTAATTTTCTTAAAGATTTTATTTATTTATTCATGAGAGACAGAGAGAAAGAGGCAGAAACACAGGCAGAGAGAGAAGCAGGCTCCATGTAGGGAACCCCATGTGGGACTCGATCCTGGGACTCCAGGATCATGCCCTGAGCCAAAGGCACTCAACCACTGAGCCACGCAGGCGTCCCCCTTATTTGATTTTCATTTGTGATCTCTGAGAGTCTGAAGGGCTCTTCTGAATTTACTCTGTGACTTTCATTTATTTTCTCTAGATATTGTGCTGAGATAATTAATTATAGCAGAAAGCATAATGACAAGCAGCTCTGTATATATTTTAACTAACTCCTCTTCCCAGTGATTAAAAGCTCCGGGAATCTAAGGAGTGTTCTCTGGTGGGCTGGGAATATCAAGTAGATGGGCAAAGGGACAGAACATCTAGTGGTGCAAGGGGTTAACCAGCGCTGTGGCACAAACCCACACATGACTCAGTAGCTTAAGGGTGGAAAAGTGGTAGCGTCACTGGCTTCACTTGATGCACTTGGGGAGGAAAGCAGTTGAAATGCATCCATCGCATGCTGATGCTTCACTTCATTTGTTGCCCTTCTCACTCCCATCCGCCTCCCATCCTCACACCCCCACCTACTTCCCATGACAGCATCTGCAAGATGGGTCTCCTCTCCCTGCATACCAGCAGGCCCTCCTATGCTAGATGTTTCATGAAATCCAGCGGTCCCTCTTTCACGCATGTGCCTGTTGAGTACCTGAAGATCCCTCGTGTCATTTACCCTGCCCCTGGCTTTTAGAGACTGTAGTCTTAAGGATGGTCTTTCCTAGAGCCTTGGTGGTTTCCTGATCTCTTGGCTTCCAGCTCTGAGGTGCCTGAGAACTAAGGTTATGTGCACTAAGCTTTGGGAAAATCCTCAGATTGTTTGACTTACAGCTCCATTGAGGGGAATAAGGGTTGTGGTATCATGGTGCACCTACTAATTGTGTATTTTGTGTCCCAGTATTTGGGCTAAATACTCTAATGGAGATTGTTACTGAAGCCGGCCCCGGGAGTGGTGAAGGTGGGTCTTGCCCGTGAGCTGTGCATGATCTTTCTTTTCCTAGCATCTTCCGTGCCTGCCTGAGGGCCATCCTCCTCATGGAGCAAGCGGTATCACATGAGTGACCTGCCTTGCCCCATCCCCCGTGACGCCCGTGCTTGCCCATGGGGCGTGCTGCTGGTGCATGTGGAGTGGCCTGAGTCTCCATCCCCACTTCCTCCACATTGCCATGGCTGGTTTCTACTTGTGTGTGATGCCCTGGGGCCACCCTCACCCAGCCCTTCTGGGGAATGGGTGTGGAATGTGGCTCCCCACGGCGGTGCTGACACAGGCTACTGGACCACAGTAGTGATGTCTCTCATTCCTACCTCCCTGGCTGTAGGAAACAGGAGGGCCTTAGTGGACCAGAAGTCATCTGTTATTAAACACAGCCCAACAGTGAAAAGAGAGCCTCCATCACCTCAGGGTCGATCCAGCAATTCTAGGTAATAAATGACTGAACTATTTCAAAAGTTCTATGATAGAGGTAGCGATTGCTGTACCACACTTCAGGGTTTCTCAGGAGTAGGAGAGCACCTCCCATTTGGGTAGATGAAATCATTCCTTGTGAGCACTGCCCATTCTGACTGACTCTCTGTGGGACAGTAGTAGCCCACACCGGCAAGGAGAATGAGGCTGCTGTGCTGGGTACGCAGGCAAACCAGGCCCTTGGCAGGGGGTGTGGGGCTGGGAGGCAGGGGACTTGGATGTTTGGAGACTTGGCTCCGTGTTGCCCCTGGAGGCAAACATCTAGTCTGATGAAAGGGGTGGGTGCTCTGCAAGGAAACTGATTACCACAGAAGTGGTGTGTGGACCCCATAGTGAGAACCAACAGTTCCTGAAGGAAGTGGTACACAGCGTGCTGGATGGCCAGGGTGTTGGCTGGCTCAACATGAAAAAGGTGCGTCGGCTGCTGGAGAGTGAGCAGCTGCGAGTCTTTGTCCTGAGCAAGCTGAACCGAACTGTGCAGTCAGAGGATGATGCCTGGCAGGACGTCATCCCCGATGTGGTCAGTGTCCAGGGTGGGGAGCTGGAATCAACTGGAAGAGGGACCTGGACACCAAAGGCAGGTTTGCCAACTCTGGCCCCTGGGTTATTGTTTCAGGAGATCAGCAGAAAGGTGTACAAGGGGATGTTAGACCTGCTCAAGTGCACGGTACTCAGCCTGGAGCAGTCCTATGCCCACGCGGGTCTGGGTGGCATGGCCAGCATCTTTGGGCTTCTGGAGATTGCCCAGACCCACTACTATAGTAAAGGTAGGGATTACAGCAGCTGGGCAAGCGCTGTCCACAACTCTCCCACTGATCTCTGAAGAAAGTGAACTTGTTCTTCTACAGGTTTTCCAGGGCCAAGCTACTTCCCATCAGGCTTCGGGATTTTATTTTTTTAATGCATGTTTATACACACTGGGTATTTTTCTGTCATGAAAAATAAGATACCTGCTTTACTTTTCTTGTACTTCTTCATTCTGTATCTTCCTGTATCCTTGCTTCTCCCACCTCATTCCCAATAACTTGATTCTCACTGTCTATTTTGACCCCTTCCTATATTCAATCTTTTCCTAGAACCAGACAAGCGGAAGAGAAGTCCAACAGAGAGTGTAAATACACCAGTTGGCAAGGATCCTGGCCTGGCTGGGCGGGGGGACCCAAAAGCTATGGCACAGCTGAGAGTTCCCCAGCTGGGCCCTCGGGCGCCAAGTGCTGCAGGAAAGGGTCCCAAAGAACTAGACACCAGAAGTTTAAAGGAAGAGAATTTTGTAGCATCTGTTGGTATGTATCACTATGTTTGGTGTGGTGGAGGGAGGGTTCTGGCTTCGTAAATACCTCTCCCTCCTTCTTTCAATTCATCCAGAATCCTGCCTTTCTTTTCCCCATGCTTTGCTTTCTAGAGAGGGAGGTAGGTCTGCATCCATTTCTGATGGTATTTCTTTATACTTCTTTATCCCTTATGCTTCCTTTACAGGCTCCCCCACCCTCACCTATATCTTAGAGAAAGAATAGAAGTTTTGCTTAGAAGGCCCAGTGAGGTTTAGTGCAGGGAGTCTGAGCTATATTCCTGGTCCCTCTTTTTACTGACATCTAGATTTCTTCACACAGTGGAAAGCCACGTGAGCTCCTGGAAGCTATAGGAAAATTTAGGGATGCGTCTTTGGCCTATAAAATTATGATTGTCTGGGCCAGTTTACTCCCATCCAACCATTACACTATCCTCAAATTTGCTTCTCTAGGGTATGTCCAGCAGTGCATTTCCCTGGGCTCTAGACCTCAAGGTATAGGTTTCTGAATCAACTTCTCTTTAAAAGTTTCCTTAGTGGACTTGATTAAGAGCTTGTTGACATTTAGTGTTTCTCCATTCCCACTAAGGCAGTGCCTTAGTGAACCCTCTGGGTGTCACCTCCTTTTGACTCACTCTGTATTTGACCTTGAGTCATCTAGGTTGTGTCTTTTCTGGTTCCGTTTCCCTGGGCAGTATGCTTCTAACTGTTGCTTCTTCGCCACACCCCTGGCAGTTGTCTTATGCTCCCATTAATGGTGGTGAGGAACCAGTTTCCTTCACTGGGGAGCTACCCTTCTCTAGCCAGCACAGTAGTGTCCTAGAGGCAGTCAACTCTGCCTTCCTCCTGCTTGACGTGATGGTCTAGCATAAGTACCCGCCTGCAAATCTGAAGGTCTGGAGTTTTTATCCTGTTCTGCCTCCAGCTAGGAATGAGACTTTGGGCAAAGCACTTTCTCTCTCAGGGTCTCTCTGTCTGCTTATCTGGGAAATGAGGAGTTGGATTATGTAGACACAAGTTCTTCCAGGAAAAGAATGCCACCATTAATGTTCTTTCTTCTTTACCCCAGTGAAGATGCTATTCTTGATCATTTCATGTTCTGTGTCACCTTTACCGTAAGCATTTTTCCAGATGATTAGCTAAGAATGGGTCACTTGGCAGGGCAGACACTGATTCTGAGGGTGAATTGGATTTTAAGTAGCAACAAGGAGGGATGCTAACTGCCTGCGTGAGTGGCAGTTCTATCTGATGTTCTACAGGGTTTTCACCACCACTTTAAGGTTCAGGTTAGGAATTAAGAGTCTTCAGTTCATGAGTGTGTGTGTGGGGGGAATGCATTAGATCTCTTGATTTGTTTAACCTCCCAAAATGAAGATCCCTTTTTAGCTCTTGATTTGTAATCTTATGCCTGAGACTGAATCAGCTTGGGTGGGTGGGTTTCCATTCTGTGACCAGCCTCTGACTCTGTCTGTCTTTCTCTCCTGCTTACATTGCATCTGGGGTAGAATTGTGGAACAAGCACCAGGAAGTGAAAAAGCAAAAAGCTTTGGAAAAACAGAGTAAGGAACAAATGCCCCTTCCTGTTCCCAAGTCTCCCATACCTGCCAACTCCCCAGGCCCAGTTGGGGCAGGCTCCCTTTGTCAGCCCCACCCCAAATTTGTTCTTGGGGGGTATTTGGAATGAAAGCAGGTAGGTGGTATGTGATTCACAGGTATATGGCTTGTAGGCTGCTTCTTTCCCCTTCTCGTCCTAGCAATCAGGCTGTAATCAGGGTGTCTACGAGTAAAGTCCCTTAGAACTTGGTTCTCTATTGCTCCAGAGTTGGTGGGGAGAATGTTTGCCTATTTCAGTGCCCCTCATTGGCTGATCTCTCCCTCACCCATTGGAAGGCCTGTGGGAGCAGTTGGCAGAGATGGTTGCTGTCCCCCCGTGTTGAGTCTGTAGCTTCCTGGCTCTCTCTGGTGGCTTGCCTAGGCACGCTTTCTTGCTTTCTGTCATTCTGTCCTTCTGCCATAACATGGTGGGTGGGTGGGGAAAAGTGAGGGCAGTTTTTATTTCAAATATAGAAAGTTGTAGAGTTGGGGTAGTCACTGTCCACGGAAACAGCTGGTGTCTCTGTATCTCGTTGGACCTGTCCTTTTCTAGCCCCTTTAGATACATTTGTTGGGGAAGCACTGAGTGACCTGGGGACTCTTAATGGGTTTCACACACCAGTGAAGCTCCAACTCTGAGTGTAGTGGAATGTGGTTTAGACATTTGTTTGTGGAACTTTCTGTTTTAGAATGATTTGCTCAGAATTTTCTCAGGTTGTGAAGATGGCTTCAGAACCCCTTAAGAACAGGTTTAATTTGTCCTACTTGGTTCTTAAGGCATCTGGGGACTTCTTCCAGTGGGGCCTGATATGAAGGCAGTCCCTGGAAAGGTGACTGGGTCACACTGAGCTGGTCTGGGACCAGGCTGTGTGCTGTCCCACTCCCTTCACCAGCCTGCCCCTGGCCTTTGTGTGCTGAGTGACAGAGGTTTTCCCCTACCCAGGGCCTGAAGTAATCAAACCCGTCTTTGACCTTGGTGAGACAGAGGAGAAAAAGTCCCAGATCAGCGCAGACAGTGGTGTGAGCCTGACATCTGGTTCCCAGGTTTGTGACAACCCTGTTGAGAATTGTGAGCACTAAATTTGCTATCTCAGAATATTTAAGTTAAAAAAAAAGACAACCTCAAAACAACATGCATGCCCGGTAATAGGAGAATGATGAAATAAGTGTGATATCCATATGATACGGTATTAGTATCTATTGAAGACAAAAATTTGGTGACATGGAAAAATGTTTTATAAAGCTACATGCAGTATATACTTCCTGTTTTATTTTTAAAACGTACATAGAAAAAACTGAAAGGAAATATATACTAAAACCTTAGCAGTGATTAACGTCAGTGGCAGGTTTATCGTTTATTTTTGTTTCCTTATTCTTCCATGTATTTTCTATAGCGAGCATGTATTTCTTTAATGTTTATTATTTTTTTGTTATGCAAGTCATGTATATCTTATATTCAGGAAAAAAATATATTTTTCATGTCCTACTTAGGGGTAATAATAGTAGGTTGGGGTTGAGGAGAAGGAAGAAAATACAGTACCTCCTCTAATGTGTTTGAGTCCCCTTATCGTTTCAGAGGACTGATACAGACTCTGTCATTGGTGTGAGTCCAGCTGTTATGATCCGAAGCTCAAGTCAGGACTCTGAAGTTAGCACCGTGGTAGGGGAACACCACACTGGCATCTTGGTGGGTGGGGTGTGAATTCCCCTTTGGAAAAGGGCTGCTTTCTCCCTTGGAGGCTCTTAGTCTTATGTCAGCTTGGTTCTCACGGTGGAGATGCTCACCTATTATAGGTCTGTGTGCGTGGGATCAGACCCTGAGATTTCACCCAGGGCTTCTCATCTTGTAAAGAAGGTACTTCCAGAGGCTGACACACCTTTGAAGTTCAGTGCTTTTGCTTTTTTTTTTTTTTAATGGCGGTAGAGACCTCTAACAGCTGGGCATTTCTGGGACTCCTTCACTGGGGAATATTCCTTACTACCTTTCTTTCCTTTCCAGGTGAGTAATAGTTCTGGAGAGACCCTTGGAGCAGATAGTGACCTGAGCAGCAATGCAGGTGATGGACCAGGTGGTGAAGGCAGCGCCCACTTGGCAAGCTCTCGGGGCACTTTGTCTGATAGTGAAATTGAGACCAATTCTGCTACCAGCACCATCTTTGTAAGTTTTGTTTACTAACAAAGGAGATCATTTCTTTCATGGGAGGGGATTGCGTTAGAAGAGAATGAAAAGTTAGGGGCAATTAGAAGGAAAGACGAAGGAATGGATTATCCTCATATATTTGGCTTCAAAGAAAAGGTTTCCTATGGCTTTTTTCGGAGTTATTTGACTCCATGATCTGGGGCTTTTAGGACCCTCTCCTGAATCAGTGATGCATTGGGCTCCCCACCCAGTCAGATAAGGACTTCAAATCCTATGTAGCAATTATACCCATATTTACAGTAGACAAAGTGATAGATGCCTTTGTGGCAATGACAGCTCTCATTTTCTATCAGTCTGCCTCTTGCTATGGAATAGTTTGGTTTTATTCCAGTCACTGCTTTATTTAGCATTTAAATTTTTTTTTAATTTTTATTTATTTTATGATAGTCACACAGAGAGAGAGAGAGAGAGAGAGAAAGAGGCAGAGACATAGGCAGAGGGAGAAGCAGGCTCCATGCACCGGGAGCCCGACGTGGGATTCGATCCGGGGTCTCCAGAATCACGCCCTGGGCCAAAGGCAGGCGCCAAACCGCTGCGCCACCCAGGGATCCCTATTTAGCATTTAAAAATAACATTTTATTTTAGTATGTTTCTAACGCTATTTGGTATTTCTATTCATTAATAAATAGCTATTAAGTGATTTACTAAGTGGTATATTCTGTACTAAAGAAAGAGGGATGAATAAGACGTAATTCTCACTTTCAAGAAGTTTGCAACTCAGCATGTTGCTGTGACTAATCTCCTCTGACAGGTGAGGGGAACAAAGCCTTAGGAGAAAAAGCACTTGCCCTACATCCTACAAAAAGCCAGTGATCAGTTGGAATTAAAGTAATTCTGTTTAGTCCTTGCCTTTAAACACCCTGCTTTCTGGTGTATACATGCCTCTGATGGTAGCATTAAGCACTCTGATACGCTTGTCACTTTATTAGACAGAGTTGAGAATGGATATTCTTTACAGGAGCTTGTAGGGAGAATGGAAGATGAAATTTAAATGGAATCAGGTATTTAACACTGGTGATCATCCCCACCCTCAGAGCTTTCTATGTGTTTCTAATAGAGCAAATGACATCCCTGAGCAAAGGTAGAAAATGGGATTGAGAGTCAGGAGAGCTATTTGAGTTAATGGACCTTAACTCTCCTTGAGTCTAAATAGACGATTTTAATGAGAGTATTTTAAATCCTTCTAGTGTGCCTCCATTCTGGAGGTTAAGATAGACATTATAGGCTAGCAATCTTGTAAGAAGCCATTCAGCTGTGTGCTGCTTTCTTGTCCCCTTCCTGAGACAAATTCTTACTTGTTCTACGCCGGTGGGCAAGGGCTGTTTTCGTACAGTTGAGTTGCTGAGAGCAATTACCTAAATTTCTTGGCTCAAAAACAGACTGTCTTAGCAAGAAAAAAAATAACATTAAGTCAGTATGGTCCGTTGAACAAAGAACTGGGTTGTGAACCTGGAGTCTGGTGTGTAGACACACTAATGAGGTGTTGCCTAATAACCTTTGATCGGGCCCTTCTCTGCCTATGCTGTTGCATGACTTGTGAAATGGGCATGAAATCTGCCTCTTAACCCATTTGAAATCTTTTTGAATGAATAGAAAGTCTAATATTGCAGAAATGGCAGATATTTCTAAGACATGGTTGGAAAGAGGAAATTAACATTTATCCAATACCAGTCATGAGCCAGACATTGTTAAGTGCTTTACATGTATTTTCTAATTTAATTCCCATTTAGGAATCCCATGGGGGATGCCTGGGTGACTCAATGGTTGAGCATTTCCCTTTGGCTTAGAGCATGATCCCATGTTCCTGGAATCAAGTCCCACATTGGGCTCCCCACAGAGAGCCTGCATGCCCCCCTACCCCCTGACCCCCGCCTATGTCTCTGCCTTTCTCTCTGGGTCTCTCATGAGTAAATAAATAAAATCTTTTTTTTTTTAAAGATTTTATTTATTCATTTATGAGAAGCACAGAGAGGAGAGAGAGAGCGGCAGAGACACAGGCAGAGGGAGAAGTAGGCTCCATGCAGGGAGCCTGATGCAGGACTCGATCCCGGGTCTCCAGGATCATGCCCCAGGCTGAAGGAGGTGCCAAACCGCTGACCCACCGGGGCTGCCCTAAATAAAATCTTTTTTTTTTTTTAATTCCCCTAATGGTCCTATGAGGTAAATACTATTAGTCTTCCTTTTACAGTTGAGGAAAACAAGACTCAGAAAAGCTAAGTTTTATATCTCAGATTACACAGCTAGTAAGAGTCAGACAGTCTGACTTCAAAAACCAGTGTTCTTTCTGCTACAGAGAATTTGCCTTATTTATTTATTAATTTTAAGAGCAGAGAGTCCTTTTCTTTAAGATTTTTTTAAAAATTTATTCATGAGAGACACAGAGAGCAAGGCAGGACATAGGCAGAGGGAGAAGTAGGCTCCCTGTGGGGAGCCCGATGGGGGACTCAATCGCAGGACCCTGGGATCATGATCTGAGCCAAAGGTAGATGCTCAGCCACTGAACCACCCAGGTGCCCAAGAGCAAAGAGTCTTACAGAGACTAAAGGGTAAAGATAAATAAAATGAGAACATGATTGCATGTTTTAGGAGGCAGTAACAGAAGCAGCATTATCAGATTGACTTCTGGTCAAATCCTTGAGGCAGGCAGAGTAGCAAAAAGCATGACTACTAGAGTATATGTTGCTAATGGAGGGTAACAGGTGTGTGGACCTCTCAATGAACTGCATGGTTTATTTTGGCCTGTCATACCTTGGGCAGCTGACCTATCATCTCTTCTTTGTAGGGGAAAGCCCATAGCTTGAAGCCAAGTGTAAAGGAGAAGCTGGTGGGCAGCCCAGTTCGCTCTTCCGAAGATGTAAGCCAGCGGGTCTATCTGTACGAGGGACTCCTAGGTGAGAAACAGACTGAGAAGACCTTTTGCTCTGGAAGAAAGCTGGATTCGGCTGGGGAAGAGGGTAGCACTGAACCCATAGCTGCTTAGTTTTGTGCTGATCTCAGTGCTGATGTTAGAGGGTGTTTTTATATCTGAAGAAGGTGACTTACTGGGTTTGGAAAAAGCAGTAGGTGAGCACTAGAAGAGACTGGATTTTCATATTAATCAACAGCCTCTGTCTTTCTGTCTGTCTGTCTTTCCTTTCTTGCTACCATGGTCCTTCCTGCTCACAAATTGGCAGGAAGGGACAAAGGATCGATGTGGGACCAGTTAGAGGATGCGGCTATGGAGACCTTTTCTATAAGTAACCACCTTTCTTTGTGTGCTGTGATCATCCCTCCTCCTCGGGAGGGGCTGGGCCTCACCTGGAGGAGCCGGGGCTGGTGGCAGGAATGTTAGTTCTGGGGTGGAGAGGCTCATGTTTCCTTTGTCTTAGAATTTGTCCCTTTTACCTAGAGTTTACTCGTGGTTTGGCAGCTGTATTTTTATATGTTAAATAAGCCCCTAGAAAAATTCTATTCCACGCAGGCAAAGAACGTTCTACTTTGTGGGACCAAATGCAGTTCTGGGAAGATGCATTCTTAGATGCTGTGATGTTGGAGAGAGAAGGGATGGGTATGGACCAGGGTCCCCAGGAAATGATCGACAGGTATGAGACTTAGTAAACGCTTGGAAAATGCAAATTCAACCTCTTCTAAGTTCTGTGGTCTCCCCACTGAGGACCAACTTGTCTCTGATCTCCTACTTAGGTACCTGTCCCTGGGAGAACATGACCGGAAGCGCCTAGAGGATGATGAAGATCGTTTGCTGGCCACACTTTTGCACAACCTCATCTCCTACATGCTGCTGATGAAGGTAATGCCGATTTTACTTGATGCCAGAACGGCAAGGCTTGTTCCTATCACCTAAATTCTGGGGCACTTGGGAAACTGTCAGAATATCTTACTAGGGCTCTCTTGCTGATTGAAAGTGTGAGGTCTCTCTGAAGCTCACACATGATCCATTTGTCTGAAGCTGCCAGGCTATTGTGCTAAGGAATGTTGTAAAGATGATTGGTGATTCCATAACATTTGTTTTGAATTTTATTTGGTTATTATTTAAAAAAAATTTTTTTAAAGTAACCTATACACCCAACATGGGGCTCACAGCCCCAAGATTAAGAGTTGCACACTCAGGGTGCCTAGGTGGGACAGTCAGTTGAGCATCTGACTCTTGTTTTCTGCTCGGGTCATGATCTCAGGATCATGGGATCAAGCCCCGTGTCGAGTTCTGCACTCAGTGTGGAGTGCCCCTCCCCGCCCCACTTTCTCTCTAAAATAAACAGGTTCATCTGGGGGATACAGTTGGTTGAGCATCTGACACTTGATTTTGGCTCAGGTTATGATCTCAGGGTTATGAGATCAAGCTCCACATAGCACTCACCACTAAATGAGGAGTCTGCTTCTCTCCCTTTCTCTCTCCCTCTGCCCCCACCCCCCACCCCCACCCCCCACCACTCATGAATACTCACACACTCTCTCTCTGTCTCTCAAAAATAAATGAATAAATCCTTAAATAAATCAATCGATCTACTTTTTTTTAAGATTTTATTCATTTATTCATGAGAGACACAGAGAGAGAGGCAGAGACACAGACAGAGGAGAAGCAGGCTCCACGCAGGGATCCCCATGTGGGACTTGATCCTGGGTCTCCAGGATCAGGCCCTGGGCTGAAGGCGGCGCTAAACCACTGAGCCACCTGGGCTGCCCCAATCAATCTTTTTAAAAAGGGTTGCACACTCTACCGACTGAACCATCCAGGCACCCTGTTTATTTTGAATTTTATTTTTATTATTTATTAATTTATTTTTAAATATTTTATTTATTTGAAGGGGTGGGAGAGAGACCATGAGCAGGGGCAGAGAGAAAGGGAGACGCAGACTCCCTGCTGAGCAGGGAACCCAATGCGGGGCTCAATCCTAGGACCCTAAGATCATGACCTACACCAAAGGTAGACACTTAACCAGCGGAGCCACCAGGTGCCCCTATTTTTTTTTTAAGATTGATTGATTGATTGATTGATTGATTTATGATAGACATAGAGAGAGAGAGAGGCAGAGACACAGGCAGAGGGAGAAGCAGGCTCCATGCAGGGAGCCCAACATGGGACTCGATCCTGGGACTCCAGGATCGCGCCCTGGGCCAAAGGCAGGCGCCAAACCACTGAGCCACCCAGGGATCCCGGTGCCCCTATTTTGAATTTTAAATGGACTTCCTTTGCTAAGTAGTTTTAGGATGGCGGTAGAACTCCCCACAGAATACAGTGAATTAAAAAAAAATTTTATTAGTTTTTAAAATCTTAGGATAGTCAGAATTCATTTTTCAGCACTAGCCCTTTATCATATAGAATTTTCCATAGATGTAAAAGAACTACTCTTTAAAAATTTAAAGGTAGAAAAAAAAATTTAATGGTAGGTTCTAGTTTGACTTGGTTGCACTTGGTTTTATAGCTGTGGAAGATGAAGGTTACCAAATGGAAGTATCCTGCATTTTTTTTTTTATGATAGGCACACAGTGAGAGAGAGAGAGAGGCAGAGACACAGGCAGAGGGAGAAGCAGGCTCCATGCACCGGGAGCCCGACATGGGATTCGATCCCGCGTCTCCAGGATCGCGCCCTGGGCCAAAGGCAGGCGCCAAACTGCTGCGCCACCCAGGGATCCCAGTATCCTGCTTTGAAAGGGAAACATAGGGATCCCTGGGTGGCGCAGCGGTTTGGCGCCTGCCTTTGGCCCAGGGCGCGATCCTGGAGACGCGGTATCGAATCCCATGTCGGGCTCCCGGTGCATGGAGCCTGCTTCTCCCTCTGCCTGTGTCTTTTGCCTCTCTCTCTCTGTCTGTGTGACTATCATAAATAAATAAAAATTAAAAAAAAAAAAGAAAGGGAAACATAAGTTTGGGGTTGATGGGTAGAATAGAGTTGTTTTGAGAATGAGCTCCTGGATTTCTCCTCCTCCTGTTCTCCCAGCCTCTCTAAATATGAAGGGATTAGTTGAACAGATGCAGAAAACACCTGATAGGCTGACTTAGTTTGTGTCATTTTCTGTCCTTTTTTTTTTTTAATTTTTATTTATTTATGATAGTCACACACAGAGAGAGAGAGGCAGAGACATAGGCAGAGGGAGAAGCAGGCTCCATGCACCGGGAGCCCGATGTGGGATTTGATCCCGGGTCTCCAGGATCGTGCCCTGGGCCAAAGGCAGGCGCTAAACCACTGCGCCACCCAGGGATCCCTCATTTTCTGTCCTAAAGCTCACTCCTCTCTGTTGAACTCTAGGGGTTTCAGTGAACTCTGGTTGGGAAAGGGTGCTGGTCCTGAACCCTGGGAAGGTGTCTGCTACGGCCGAACCAGAATGTTGCTACTCTATGGCCTTGTTTCTGAACTATATTCTGAGAGCCCCAGTGGTTCTTAGGGCCTCTTTACGGGTGAATGTTTATGGTATTGGTTTAGGATAGGGTGGAAGTATCTCCTTGAACCCAAATCCATTTGAAGCAGACTTGCTCTAAAAGCTGTTTCTGGGGATCCCCAGTGGCTCAGCGGTTTGGTGCCTGCCTTCGGCCCAGGGCGTGATGCTGGAGTCCCCGGATTGAGTCCCACATTGGGCTCCTTGCATGGAGCCTGCTTCTCCCTCTGCCTGTGTCTGTGTCTCTGCCTCTCTCTCTCTGTGTCTTTCATGAATAAATAAATAAAATCTTAAAAAAAAAAAAAGCTATTTTTCTACAGAAACCATCCAGAGACAGCCAGAGTTTTCTTTCCTAGCCTGTTAGCAGAATAGGCCGTTGAATGTTTTCTCTCACATTCAGTGATGTGGACTCAGAATTGTCTCAAATGGTAGGAAATTTGCTTGTACATTCCCTCTAAGTTGCAAGGAGAGCAGATCTCTCATTAAGATTTCGTTTTGGCTTTCCAGGTAAATAAGAATGACATCCGGAAGAAGGTGAGGCGCCTGATGGGAAAGTCCCATATTGGGCTTGTGTACAGCCAGCAAATCAATGAAGTGCTTGATCAGCTGGTGAACCTGGTAAGCATATCTGGGCCATCCCCTAGGCTCCCCTCCCACTGCACTTGTCGCCTCCCAGGCTTGGGCCTTATCACCTAATGCAGAGGCTTCCCCACAGGTCACTTCTTGGCCTGTACATTTTCAAGACCCCCAGTTTTAAAAATTGGGCTTTGAGTCTAGATGAGGGTTTAGTCCTTCTGTTCTGTGGTAGGATTCTCTATACTAAAACCATCCTGGTACGGCCATTTCAACATATGATCTGTGGACTCCTTAAAGAGCCATGAGATGAAAACTATTTTCATAATAGTACAAAAATGTTTGCCTTTTTATTACTGGGTTGACATTTGCACTGATGGTACAAAAGCAGTGGTGGATGAAACTGTGGTTACCTTCACACAGAGAAGACAGTGGTGCTAAACCATGCTAGTAGCCTTCAGAATGCACCTCCAATTTAAAAAAGGAGAAAGAAAAATAGTTTCACTTATAAATGTTCTTGATGAAAGTGTTAAAATCATTAATTTTATTAAATCTGATCATTGATTATAGATCTTTTTAATATTTTATGTGACAAAAGGAAAAATATACAGGAAGTATTTGTGCTGCAAACCAACATATGATGATTAATTTCAAGGAAAAGCAATTTGTGACAGTTTGAGTTGCAAGGTGAACTGTCAGCTTTGCTCATGTGACATTATTTTTACTTGGAAGAATAACTGTGGTTATTCAGAGTTGGGTATTTATTTGGCAGATTTTTAAGCTTGAGGCGTCCTGATACTTAAATAAAGATTTTTGTAATGAGACTGATGATATTAATAAGTGTGATTTTTTTTTTATATTCTATAATGAAATGTGTCAATGTTTGGAATAGCTGCATTACTCCTTAAGCCAGTATTTTCCGGAAAACCATTGTGTGGTGTTACAAATTCAAGTATGAGTAAAGAACCACTCAAAATGCAAGGCAGACAAATGGATTTCATGTAACAAGTATAAAATGTTCATTGTAGGATTTTCAGATTTCATATTGCAACTAACTATGAGAAACTGTTACTTCTCAAGTATAATTTTGGTATAATTACCAAAGAAGAATATGTATATTTATCTGGAAAAGCTATTAAAATACTCTTCTCTTTTCCAAAGATATATCTTGAAACCAGATTTTCTTTATATACCTCAACCAAAGCAACATAACACAATGGATTGTATGCAGAAGCAGATACAAGAATCCAGCTATTTTTTTAAAGACAAACGTGCAAAAATATAAAATAGTGCCAGTCTTCTCATTTTCTTTTGTCTTGGGAAATATTTTAAAAAGTTATTTATATTACCATATAATGGATGTATTAATAATGACTTTAAAATGAATTAATATTTAATTTTGTTCAGTTTTAATTTCTAATATGAATATCTATAAATATAACACATAAGCATAAACTCTTGGGGGGCCTAAGATCAAAAAGTTTGAAAACATGCCCCTCATGGCCTATAGTTAAGTAAGCTGATAGGAATTTAATTGCTGAATTGGGGGCTGGGAACGAAATTCTTGGCCTAGAGAGCTCTGTGAGAGAGATACCTGGATGTGCCTAAAAGATTTCTCTTTTCTCAGAATGGACGTGATCTCTCTATCCGGTCCAGTGGCAGCCGGCACATGAAAAAGCAGACATTTGTGGTACATGCAGGGACAGACACAAATGGAGACATCTTCTTCATGGAGGTAAATGCTAATTCATGCTAGTTCAGATGCCTCAAAGGAACATTTGAGAGTCACAAGGAACTCCTAGAACTGACGTCGGAATATTTCTCTCACTTGATCTCATTCGTGTTTATAATCCACTTATCATTAAATTGTCAGGCTCTTATGCAAATAATGTAATAGATGATTCCCCAACATTTCCTTTAAATATATATTGAACAGATGATATAGTCACATTGTTCATAAGTCAGTGCTTCCAATAAGCATTGGGAAATCTTGTGCTCTTTCTCATCCACTTCCTCTCAATTTTCCATCATCCTCATCCCTTCCTCCTATAGTTGACCACTTAATTGGTTTCCTTTGTACCTTCCAGTGGTATTTTATACAAACACAATAGAATATGAACATAAGTTCTCTTTCTTTTTTCTTACAGAAAGGTAGTACATCTTATCCACTGATCTGTATCTTGCTTTTCTCATTGAACATATCCTGGAGATCTCTATACCAGTACAAAAAGAGGGTTCTCTTTTTTAAGTTGAAGAAGAATTGACATACAATTTTATATTAGTTTCAAGCATATAGCGTAGTGGTTCAACAATTCTGTACATTATGCAGTGCTTACATGATAAGTGTGGTCACCGTCTGTCACCATAAGTCATTACGACATTATTCACTATTTTCCATGGCTCTTATTTTTTCCATCTGTATGGTATTCCATGGTATGACTGTGCTATCGTTGACTTAACCAGTCAGTGTAGATATGTGCCCTTGGTTTTCTTCCACTTTTGTGCTGTTGCTAATGGTGCTGCTATGCATGATGCTGCACCTGCTTCCCTTCACACATGCGCAGGCTCTGTAAGAGCTCTCCGAGTGTGATCACCAGACCAAAGAAAAGAATGCATTGATAACTTTGGCTGATATAATTATAAAGTATCTCTTAACATATAATAGTTCCCTTCCCACTTTGCTATTTATTTTGTTGAAGAAATTTGCCCTACAGAGTATCTCACATTCTCAGTTTTTTGCAGATTGCATCTGTTTGGTGTTAACACATTTCTCCATCACTTGTATCTTTTATAAACTAGTAGTTCAATCTAGGGGTTCGGTGAGTTTCAGATTCAGTGTTTTGGCAAGAATACTTCATGGGTGGTGCTGTAGATTGCCTGTTGCGCCATATGGTCATCTCTCTCTTGGTAATCAGTGGGTTTAGATGTGGGCAACCTGATCTGTTCCCTGTGAAGCTCCTCATCAGTCCTTTGAGTTTGCTTGTGGGGGTTTTTTGCCATGCAGAATTAATTAATTAAATTATTTATTTATTTATTTATTTATTTGCTTATTTATTTATTTATTTATTTTTACCTTCCCTCCAACCCTTGGCAGAATTTTTTTTTTTACTTTTATATAGTTGAATTAACTCTTTTTTTAAAATTTTTATTTATTTATGATAGTCACACAGAGAGAGAAAGGCCGAGACATAGGCAGAGGGAGAAGCAGGCTCCATGCACCGGGAGCCCAACGTGGGACTCGATCCCGGGTCTCCAGGATCGCGCCCTGGGCCAAAGGGAGGCGCCAAACCGCTGCACCACCCAGGGATCCCCCTAAGTCTTTTTTTAAAATAGCTTCTGGATTTTGAGTCATAGGTAGAAAAATCCTTCCTTATCCCAGGATTGCAAAGGAAATTGGCTATTGTTTCTTTATTTCTGTATTTTTAATTCTAAGATGAATGTCTTCTACATAATTGTAGGAACCAAGTACAACTCCTATATTAAGTAGTGAAATTAAATAAGTTTACAAGTATTCTGTTTCCTTTTGATTTAGTTGAGTTTGATTTTCACATCCATAGCTTTTTGAATGAGTGGTTTATCAAACATGGGGTGGGGGTTTGGCCTAAAGCAGAAACATGTGCGTTGGTATAGCTGAGAAAAGAGTCATTTTCATGTCACTGAAGTTTTAGAATTTGGCAGGTGTTTCCTCGAGCTGAGGGCCAATTTAGGACATCTGTACCACAAAGAGGTGACAGGTGATTCTCACCCTTTTCTTTTCCTTTTAAAAAATAAATCCAGGGCAGCCCCAGTGGCGCAGCGGTTTAGCGCCGCCTGCAGCCCAGGGCGTGATCCTAGAGACCCGGGATCGAGTCCCACATCATGCTCCCTGCATGGTGCCTGCTTCTCCCTCTGCCTGTGTCTCTGCCTCTCTCTCTCTAGCTGTGTCTCTATGAATAAGTAAATAAAATCTTTATAAATAGGGATCCCTGGGTGGCGCAGTGGTTTGGCGCCTGCCTTTGGCCCAGGGTGCGATCCTGGAGATCCGGGATCGAATCCCACGTCGGGCTCCCGATGCATGGAGCCTGCTTCTCCCTCTGCCTGTGTCTCTGCCGCTCTCTCTCTCTCTCTGTGACTATCATAAATAAATTTAAAAATATATTTAAAAAAATCTTTATAAATAAACGAATGAATGAATAAATAAATAAATAAATAAATCCAGAAGACTTCTTAAAGTATAAGACTAACTCTGGCCACCATGCAGGGGAGCCTCATATGAAGTCCCTGGAGTATGGGTGGATCTATCATCTTATAGACGCCTCTCCCTTAAAGCACTAAATAAGACTTTACCTCTTTTACTCCATTAGCCACCCACTACACTTAGCCTGACTTTCTCATCTCCGCACAGCTTGCTGGCTGCAGGATCACTGGGAGAGCAATTGCAAAGACTTTAAAAAATCCTCTTTATTACTTTTTTTTTTCAGTTACAGAAATAGACTGGGGCACCTGGTGGCTCAGTCAGTTAAGTGTCTGACTCTTGATTTCGGCTTAGGTCATGATCTCAGGGTCAGAAGATCAAGCCACGTGTCAGGGTCTGCACACTGGGTATGGAGCCTATGTAAGATACTACTCCCTCTCCCTCTGCCCTCCCTGCTTGTTCACACATTAGCACGCTCTCGCTCTCTCTCAAAAAAAAAAAGATAAATTACAGAAGTAGAACAGTATATGTTGCGAAAGTTTCAAACCATAGAGAAGTAAATGAAATAAAAAGTAAAAGTTTCCCTTCATTTCCTTTCATACTATGTTTCAGAGATAACCAGCATTATAGAGTTTGGTGTGATTTTTAAAAATGTGTGTTGTATAAATACAGTTTACTTGTATGTAATTTCGTTTTTGGTGTTTACCAATTGATACCAATATTGGTATCAAACTACGAATATTGTTATATAGTTTTATTTTTTCTACTTAATTTATGACTGACATCTTTCCATGTCTACATGTTATCTAAATCTGTTTTTATTTTTCTTCTTTTTGTTTTTTATTTTGTTTTGTTTTTGTTAAGTAAGCTTTATACCCAATGTGGGGCTCAAACTCACAACCCTGAGATCAAGAGTGGCATGTTTCACCAGCTGAGCCAGCCAGGTGCCCCATCTCTGTTTGTTTTTTTGTTTTTGTTTTTGTTTTTTAAAGATTTTTATTTATTCATGAGAGACACACAGAGAGAGGCAGAGACATAGGCAGAGGGAGAAGCAGGCTCCAGGCAGGGAGCCCAATGTGGGACTCGATCCCGGGTCTCCAGGATCACACCTTGAGCTGAAGGCAAATGCTTAATCACTGAGCCACCCAGGTATCCTGTCTCTGTTTTTTTAAATGGATGCTTAATTTTGTTTTGTTTTGTTAGCTATTAGATATTATATCGATGTATAGCATAAGTCATTCAACTAGTCCCTCCCACTTTTAAAAAAAATAATTATTCTTTGAATATACTTGACTGTGTATCTTGATAATGTCTTTTTAAATTTTTTAATTTTTTTTAAGATTTTACTTATTTATTCATTCATGAGAGATGCAGAGAGGGAGAGTCAGAGAGATAGACAGAGGGAGAAGGCAGATGCTCAACCACTGAGCCACCCAGGTTTCCCTAGATTTAAAATTTTTAGATTCTGCCAAATGCCACCCCAAAGACTATACCAGTTTATATCTCCACCAGCAGCATAGGCGAGTATGGTGCATTATTACTGTCCTCTCCCAGCCTAGAAATCATGTCTAAATACCTGTCCTGCCCCTCTCCTTTACCTGTTGTTCTTAAAGCATTGTGGAAAGTAGAGGCAGTAGTCTTCATTTTTCACCTGGAAAAAACTATAGAGTCAGACTAAGTCAGACTAAGTAATTTTTACTCAGCTGCTTTATGACCTTGTTCTTCAGGCTTTTAGGACCTTAGTAACTCAGGTAGCAGATTAAACCTGGTAGTCTTGTGTGATCCTTTTTCTTTCACTTAATATTTATGGAGCACATACAAATCCCAGGTGCCCTGGGTATGCAGTTATAGCAGTGAATAACGGAGACATGGTTTCTGTTGCCCTTACAGGGTTGACAAGCCATTGGAGAAGTCATCTATTGAAACAATGTGTCATAAAGTATGATGAGCTTTATGAGAGAAGATGCTCAGAGGCAGGTGGTATGGGAATACATAGCAGAGGGTCTAGGAGTTGTGGACGACCCCTCAGAAATGACCTTTGAGTTTAGACTTGAAAGAAATAGGAATTAACAGCTGGAGTGGGGGAGGGTGGGACTTGTGGTATAGTGAGAGGGAAAAGGAGTCTCACATTACTCCTTCACTTCTGGCTTGGGCAGCTGGGTGAATGGTGACACTATTTACTCAACTAGGGGATGCAGAAGGAGGATCTGCCCAAAAGGAAATGCTGACTTCAGATTTGGACATGTTAAGATCCAGGGTGCTGCCTGTGAGAGGTTCAGATAGTGAGAGGTTCAGGAACTCGAGAAGATGGGTCTCGTATGGAGAAAAATTTGAGAACCATCAATGGGGTCATAATAATCATTCCTATGTTTTTTATATTGTAATTATAGTGCTGTTATAGTATTCTAGCTCTAGGGCACTTCCTATGTGCCTGGCTTTGTTCTGAGAAGTCTGTGCACATTGACTTATTTAATCTTCACATGAGGAAATGTAGATGCAGATCAACTTGTTCAGGGTGACACAGCTAAGTAATGGGACAGCCAGAAACCTAACATAGTCTGATCTTAGAGGGAGAATGTTGAACAAGAAGAGAATGTGATGGGGGCACCAGGGTGGCTCAGTCAGTTGAGCGTCTGACTCTTGATTTTGGCTCGGGTCATGAACTCTCAGGGTTGTGAATCCAGCCTGCATTGGGCTCCACGCTGGATGTGGAATCTGCTTAAGATTCTCCCTCTCCCCCTCCCTGTCCCCGCTCACACACACTTGCACTCTCTCCCTCTGAAAATAAGTTAATTAATTAATTAATTAATTAATTAATTTAAAAGGACTTGTATTAAAAAAAGAATGTGAAGGAGGAGTTTGCCTTTTAATTTATATCATCTTGTGTCATAGAATATTTTTTGCAATAAGCATTGCCTATGTGTCGTTTATGTGATTAGTTACTTAAAACATTTATGCAGAACTATGAGCCAGTATTAGAAAAATGGTTCCATTTTTTTTCTCCTGCCTTAATCCCCCCTGCTTTGCGCTCATCCACAGAGATGGTTCCTAAGATTGGCCCATGGCGGCATGAGACACCCTCTCAAGTCTAGAGCGTGTATGAGGTGACAGACATGGGGTGAGGTGAAAATTGAAACACTGAGCTTTCTTCCTTGCTCACAGGCTCCTATCAGTGATTCCTTTTTTTTTCAGTCAACCTTTTAGTGGACAGTATGTCCAGCAGTTTGGTGTTTATGTCTCCAGCAAAGGAAGACTATGAGCATAAATCAGAGAACCTGACCATAGTGGTGCCCCCAGGGCCAGTGGTCCCATCCTTTCCCCATGGGAAACAGGGTGGTGTGGCCTGGGATGATGGAGACTCTAAGAGACAAGAACCACTGACGCACTCTGTGCACTTCTCCAGGTGTGTGATGACTGTGTGGTGTTACGTAGTAACATCGGGACGGTGTATGAGCGCTGGTGGTATGAGAAGCTCATCAACATGACCTACTGTCCCAAGACCAAGGTGTTGTGCTTGTGGCGTAGAAATGGCTCTGAGACTCAGCTCAACAAATTCTATACTAAGAAGGTACCCATGAGCTCTGTTTGGGTGGAGGGTGGGTGCTGAGGGCAAAGTGTTGAGTTCCCTGCAAGGAAGTTAAAATCCCACAGTCCACGTGTCGAGCCCCACTTCGCCTCTGGCTGTCGTGTGGGATACGTAAATAAAGCTGTCTCCGGCACCCGGGCATTGGCCCAGGCCCTTGGCGGCCATTAGAGAGCAGAGCAGAGCAGGGGGACCCTGGAAGGCTGGGATGACGGGACAGCTCTCTCCCCTGTGTGCTGCAGTGTCGGGAGCTGTACTACTGTGTGAAGGACAGCATGGAGCGGGCTGCTGCCCGGCAGCAAAGCATCAAACCTGGTGAGAAGAGAACGATTCCCCAAGCGAGTGCTTTCTGTTTATTTCTGTCCGTCCTTCTGAGCGTCAGAGGCCTGACAAGGGAGTCGGGCCTGGGTGGCCCACCTCCCCAGTGAGCTGATCACCTCCTTCCCCACCACAGGCCCTGAACTGGGTGGCGAGTTCCCTGTGCAGGACATGAAGACTGGTGAGGGTGGCTTGCTGCAGGTCACCCTAGAAGGGATCAATCTCAAGTTCATGCACAACCAGGTAGGTGCAAGTGGCAGCACCGGCTTCCTGGCCCTGTCGTTCCATCTGCAGCGAGGCTCGGTGTCCGGGTCCCATGCTTTCCCAGTGAGCCTGAGGGCCTGTGGGGCTAGTGGGAGGATCGGAGCAGCTGCACCAGAGAGAGGAATCAGAGGGAGGGCACAGTGACCCTGGCGCCGCCATGAAGGTGCGGTGGGGAGCCTCTGCGGGCAGCAGGCTAAGAGAGGGAGCCGTGGTGGCTAGGCTGCCTCCGTCCATTAGACTCAGCACAGTGTGAGTGGGAGCGTCTCACTTGGCCCTTCTTCGCACAGTGTCTGCCTTCCCTTATTCCCAGGGTGTGCTTTTGCTTGGTGGTTTCGCTTCGAGAGTCTAGACCAGCTGATCTCCTCATGTGTTTCTGGCGTGCGTGAAGCGCGTGTGCACATGCACGTGTGTGTGTGTGTGGCTCGTGTCTGTCCTACCTGGAGTATGTGTGTTTATTTGCCTATTTCTCCTGCTGATTCTTCTTTCTGCTCTTCTCGTCCTTCTGAGTGTCCCCACTCTGTCCCCTGTTTCACAGGCCCATTCCCCTTCTTTTGACTGGGGAGCACTTCAGAATACATCTTTCTCTCATTGTGATTCCACCATAGGAGCTGACTTTTTTTTTTCTCTTGGTCTTTTAACACAGTGTTACTTTTTCTCTCAGTGGACATTCCTTAAGCTAATTCCTTTCTGAGGCCAGCGCATCATCCCAGGTCCGTTCCCAGTTCTGACTCTTCACACAAGTGCCTTCCCTCCCCCTTTCCTGATGTACTGGTTCCTCCCCTGAGGCTCTGAGCCAGGTCCGAATGTGCAAAGCACCGCAGCCCCTGGCCAGGCAGCAGATACTCAGGGGAGGTGAACACCTGGGCTCTGTGGCTTTCTTCCTCCCCTTGCCATGTTAGTTTCTTCTTCTAGGAATCTCACTGGGCAGCTTTGGTGTGATGGTATATATCCAGCAATATATTTACTATCTGTGACTTTAACATACTAAATAGTGTACTTGAGACCTTAGGGTCAGCCCAAGGAGAGGTTTACTGGAGTACTTTTCTGGAACACAAAGGTGCCAGCACTTCTTGGGGACCAGGCTTCTGACCGCATTTTAGTGCCATGGCTTCCCCCGATGCCTCACCTTCTGAAGAGGAGATCTTGTTAAACAACACCCAGCCCCCTATGGGGTCTCCTGCTCTGGACTGACCTAATGTCTAACCATTCCACAGATATGTACAAGCTGGTCTGTAGTTTAAGACTTTGCCCTAGAAGAGAGATCCTGCAGAGAGGGGGAGTCAGGCCCCTCCTGATAACAAGAGAACAGCCTTGGGGTCCATCTTCCACCACGAACAGCCCGTTGGAGTTGAGGAAACGTTGGACCCTCTGGTAGACTCCTACAGGGTGGGGTAACAGATAGATCTTTGGAGTCACGATGTGCTTCGATTCAGAGCCCAACTTTGTTATTCACGGGCAGATAAGCTTTCTGATCCGATGTCCTCCTCTATAAAACGAGACTACTTACACACTGGGCCACATGGATGTAAGGATGCCAATAGGATTTGTAGAACTCCTAGTAGGTGCTCCTAAGCAGTGGCTGTTATTCTATCACCGTGTACTTCTTGGGAGAGCCTGGATTTTGTTCAAGGAAGATATGAACACCTCCTACCCCAAGGACAATCTGAGGGGAGCTTTGCGCCCGTGCCAGCCCTCTGCGCCGGAGGAGGATGCATGGAAGGGTAGAGAGCTGATGGGCTGAGTGGGGAGACCGTGTCCTCCAAGCGCTGCCCTGGGCAGAGGGTATGGGCGGGCAGCCCAGGACAGCAGAGGGGCCTTCAGGTTGGGTTTGACCATTAAAACTAACGCCTTCATTTCTCTCCCATGCTTTCTCCTCCGGCCAGGAGCGGAAGGTACATGCCCTTTCTGCTGTCTTCGCTTCTTAGCGCTTCTGAGTTGTGTGTGTGTGGATTCCTTCGGTCCTCCCTTGGAGAACTAGGTCTTCTGTGTGGGGGTGGGGCTGTAGCTGGGAGAGCGGGGCGTTGTGGGGCTGGGGGAGAGCCTCCGGGCCTGACCCCACCCTCCCTCCCTCTCTTGCAGGTTTTCATAGAGCTGAATCACATTAAAAAGTGCAATACAGTCCGAGGCGTCTTTGTCCTGGAGGAATTTGGTAATTACACTATTTTGCTCTTAGGTCTGGACTCACATGGCAGTAACTCAAACCTCGGCGCTCCAGAGGAGGGACTTAGAGACAGAGAGAAGAGCCACCTCTGCAGAGAGGTCAGGAGGCTTAGGAGTGTTAGGGAAGAGAAGGGAACCTGCGATGACCAAGGGGAAGGAGGAGGAAAGAAGAGCGAGACAGTGGCTGCTAGGGAATGGGTCCCAGAGGGGCAAGTGGCCTTAGACGGGGTTAGACTTCAGAGATGCTCCCACGGAGGCTCTTTGAGCTGGCGCCACCTTCCCTTGGCCAGCTGGTGCTCAGAAAGTTCTGGGGCAGAGCCGATGGGCAGTTTCCAAGCTCTGCTGCGTTCATGTTGCCTGCTGAGCTCTTCCTAGCAGCCCAGTGCTCCATCCAGCCGCCCTGGCGCCACCCCGGTGTCTGTGAGCCTCTGTGCCACAGGAGCGGTGCATGGTGGACCAGGCAGCCTCACTCTAGAGGGCAGGGAAGCCCAGTGGGCCTCACAGGCAGGCAGGGCAGTTGTCGCCGAGGCTGGGAGCCAGCCTCCCTGCAGCCCAGCGCTGACGCTGACCAGTGGTGTAGCGGGTTCTCACCCTGGGGCTTTGAGTTCCTGCTGTGTTTGTGCTTCATTCTTTTGTGCCCCTCATCGCTGCTATGAAAACCTTCGTTCTCCAGCAGGTAAAGTGACCTCGGCTCGTGCTGCCTCCCCCCAGGCCCCCGCCTGGGCCCTGCAGGGGGTGGGATGGGCTCCCTTCAACCAGACCAGCTGCTCACATTGCCAGTTTGTCTCATCCCTCTTCTCCCCACCCTCTTCCTCCCAGCCTCCCCCACTCCCCCACCCTCGTGCTGGCTCACTGGTTCTGAGTTTTCTCCGCCCGAACCCCCACCCCCACCCCGTGCTCCCTTCTCTCTTCTGCCAGAGAGATATTTGGGGGGAATCTTTCAATTCAGGAGAAGGACCTGGGCTTATTGCTCTACCTATGATGAGTTTTTTCCCTTTCCACCCTGGGTCCCCCTGCATTCTACCTCCCAGGGTCAGAAGAAGGTGTGGCCAATTCTCATCCTACCTTTTCTGGCCCCCAGGGGGACGCCAAGCCCCTCTGCTCCCATCTCCAGGGGCCATCAGGATGGCTGAGACCCGGGGGGCCTTCCTCCTTCCTCTGGCCAAGCAGAACCCCTGCATGGCTGGGGCAGGGGTGCCTCTTACTTAGCCTTGCATTCCGGGCTGTGGACATGTGTGTATTTTGCCTGATGCTCCCTGTCACCTCCCTCCCCGGGTGCCGTACTCGCCTGTCTTCTGCTCGATGTGTCTGCTCCAGAGCCCTCTGACGCTCTCCCTCACACAGGCAGGCCTGGGCCTCTCCTGCCACTCAGGGAAGGAAGCTTACGAGTCTGGTGGGTTTAGTACCATGCCACTTCTTCATCCAGCCTAAGGACCCTCTGCGTAGGGGCTGGGAGTACAGGGAACCATGCTTAACATGACAGTTTCGGGCCGGTAACAGGGATGAGTTCTGGGGCATCCCAGCAAGGTGAGGCACAGGCTAGAGACAACTCTCTTCACCCAGCCAAAATGGGGGAAGGCCCCACCGCAGCTCCTCGGGGCCCTGGCCAGTAGCAGTGAACGGGCTGGTGAAAGGCCAACCCACTCCTGTGCTGAGGCTCTCGAAGAAGCGGGTAGAGTCGCAGCCGTGGAGCAGGGAGCCACAACAGACCTCACAGGTCTGGCTGAGGAGTCTGGGGCAGTGTCCTCTCATCCCCCAGTGGCGGGGCAGAAGCTGTCATAGCGTAAACTGCTGCAGCCACTGGGACAGGCCACAGTGGGGACGGGGACCCTGGTGCCGGGCGCTGCCGCCTGGGGGAGTGTGGCACTATCGCTCTTAGTTTTGAACTTTCTGTTTTGTCTCTTGCCCGTCCGGTTTTAGTTCCTGAAATTAAAGAAGTGGTGAGCCACAAGTACAAGACACCAATGGTGAGTATGGCACCCCGCCCGGCAGGCCAGTCTGCGCAGGGCTCCCTGGGGACCTTCACGCAGGCGTGGGGCGGGCCCTCTGAGAGCATGGGGTAAGGGGGACGAGGAAGGCTTGGAGAGCTGAGTTTGGTCTAGATGCCACAGGTTCAACTGAAGCCGAAACAAATCTTCAGCCCCGGGAGAGAGACACACATGCAGATTCCCTCTCCCTGCGGCCAGCTGTGAAGCCTGAGCCCGGCGTGAGGGCAGAGTTTCCTGCTTGGCAGATCTCCACACATGGAGATGTCAGCATGTCAGGAATTTGATCTGTCTGGTTTTTCTCTCCCCTCTAGGCCCATGAGATCTGCTACTCTGTGTTGTGTCTCTTCTCGTATGTGGCTGCAGTTCGTAGCAGTGAGGAAGATCTCAGGACCCCACCCCGGCCCGTCTCGAGCTGATGGGAGGGGTTAAGAGCCCCCCAGTCCAGGGGATGCCCTTGCGTCTTCTGTTCGCAAGGGCACGATGCTGCGTGTATGTTCTCTGCAAGGCCCTAGCCGTGGCTTAGTTGGTTCACAGTTGTGTGTCTGAGCGTGTCTTAGTGTCTGTCACCGGGCTCGGCTGGTTTCCTCCACCTGCTCCCTCTTCACTCCCAGGAGACCAGCCTACTGTCCCCTCAGGGCTCCGGAGTGATGTCTGTCTGTCCTTTGGGCCAGTGGCTTCTAAGAACTCTGAGTACAGTACGAGCCCACCCTTGCGTGTCCCTGAGACATTCGTGTTGTGGTTCCTCGTCCTTGGTGTTACGACCCTCCCATGCAGGACTCTGGCTCTCCATCCTCTGTGACCCGGCGTGACTGGGTGCTGGGCGAAGTCCCCCTTGGTGCGGAGTGGGGGAAGCTTAAGGCCTGCCTCTGGGGCGAGAGGTGGGCAGGGAAAGGCAGGGAGAGTCACGGGGCAGCAGAGTGAGTGGCGGCCTCCCTCCTTCCATACACATTTCCCAAGCTGGCAGCTGCTGCCGCCGGGCCTCCACCACTGCGGTGGAGCAGCACCCAGGGGCTCCTTTTCACTGAGCAGCAATCTCCCTAAGGTCTGCCTTGCTTTTGGCATCAGAGAGCAAAGTGGTCAGGCTGGGAGTGCCCCAGAGACCACTGGCTACCTTGCCCAGGGAGCAGGGTGGGGTGGGGAAGGGCTGAGCTCAGTATACACAGCAGGGTCTACAGGCAGAGTCTCCTGGCACTGGGTGCCAGAGGGAGGGACAGCCTGGGAGTGGGCAAGAAATAATTGTACATAGTTCAGCTCTACGTTATTTATAGAAAATGTACAGATGTGTGAATGTGAAATAAATGTCCTTAACTCTCCTTGGCTCCTGATTGCCTTATGTTTCATGATACCTCCTCCTGGCCCAGGCCTGAGGAAGGCTGCCCCTGGACTCGACAGAAGCACCCCAGTTCCAGAAGGAGATGAGATCATGCCCATCCAAGTCTTGGCATGCGGAAGCCCCAGCCTCCCACCCTGCTGCTGACTCAGCGGGGCTCCTCACCTAGCCTCCTGGGCTCCCAGGGAGAGGTTATGGGAGGGGCTTCCTGCCCTCTGCCTCCCAACCCTGCAGGGAGCTGCTGTGCTAGGAATTGGCCATCAGAGGAAGCAGCCAAATCAAGACACCTGAGCAGGGAGTCAAGTAGCAGTGAAGGAAAAACCAAGGCTCCCCTTGCCCCTCACAGGTGTGGTCCAGAGAGGTGGAGCAGCTCGGTCAGGGTGTCATACTTGGCCTGGGGCCCCGTGCTCTGACCTCTTGGCCAGGAGTGCCTTGGGTTGTGTGGAACTCTGACAGAAGGCACCCTAGCTCCAGCCTTTCTGGAATTTTTTTTTTCTTTCTTTCTTTCTTTCTTTCTTTTTTTTTTTTTTTTTTTTTTTTTTTTGAGAGAAAGACTATACTTTCAGGGATCATTTCTATAGTTTGTTACTAGAGAAGTTTCTCTGACCATATAGAGAAAGAGAGTGCATAGGGAGGGGCCAGCAGAGAGAATCTTAAGCAGGCTCCATGCCCAGCTCGGAGCCCCATGCAGGCCTCGATCTCGTGTCCCTGGGGTCATGACCTGAGCCAAAATCAAGAGTCAGATGCTTAACTGAGCCACCCAGGCACCCCAAGACCATCCACATTCTTCTAGGGCACCTCTGAGACCCATTGGCTTCTTCCCAAAAATAAACTGATGATTGAATTTAGGTTCCTATGTGGGGAAGGAAGAGCAGAAGAGGGCCCTGGATCCCAATATCTTGTGTCGGACAGGACCGCCTTCTACTGGGAAACAGGTGTGAAGAGCTGTAGGCCTGCTGCACACCAGAACCTCGAAGCAGCCTGGTATAGCTTCATTCCAGGCTTTCTAGGCACAGAACCACATGGAAGTTCAGCACCGCCCCTGTCCAGGCTGCTGTGAGCACAGGTCAGCAGGGCAAAGACAGTACAGAGCACACGGGACCAGGCAGGAGAGCCTTGGGTTTCTGCTGTGTTGCTAACACACTCCCCTGCATCACTGGCCCAGCTTTCCCCATCGGGGGAACGTACACAGTGGGGGGAAGACTAGGTTTCTTCTCGTGCCTTATGAATTCAGGATTCCACCATCAGCCTCATCTAACGCATCCAGGAGACAATACCTGGTTCAGTTTGCTCTGAAGCTCAAGTATATTTCCTTGGGCTTTTTGTGAAAACACTAGACAGGAAGAGTCAGCTCTCTGTGACCACTCGTCTTTTATTGCCCTCATATATTGAGAAAACATGGCAGGCCAGCAAGGTCTGTCCCCAGCCACCATTTCCTGAGTCCACCAACTTTTTGTCCCAAGGCCAGAGAGCGGCCAGTGGGAGCTCAGATGGTTCAGTCTACACAGAGCCTCCAGGCCTGCTTATCTTAAGGGCATTGCCCTATGGATGCTTCCCCCCAGCCCCACCCCAAGATACACACTTGTGCACACACACTCAACAGCAGGAAGGTGGCTTATCCAGCGTTCTTCCAGGTTCCCGGGCCCTGGGCCATCGGCATCCTGTTGCACCTGTAACACAGGTTCCCTTGTGAATGCGCTGGTCTGAAACCTTGCAAAGAGGCACCTGCACCTCCGTCTCCTGATGGCTGCCCCCCCAGAACCAAGGGCTGGGGCTCAGTCTCTGACTCGGGCCATGGGTGTGGGGATGGCTTAGAGTACATACCTGGCCATCGCCAGGGAGCCAGCCAGGTCACTGAGGCACTGCAGGGGAGAAGGAGGCCGTGTCACACGTGTGTTTCCCCTCCTGGCACCACTCATGTCCCCCCAGCCTCCTGGAAGGCCAAGGGGGGCAGCTGTGGCAGCAGAGCCCAGAAGCCAGTACCCACGTTGGACATGACAGGGTTACTGCTTTCAGCCAGAGAAGCTGCGTGGCTGAACCAGAGTCCCGGCTGGTTCCCTGCCTTCTCCACCACCCCAAGCCCCGGCCCTGCTCCCATGGGCTCCTCACCTCGTACTTCCAGGCGGCACTCACACTGTGCCTCGCCTTGTAAGTTGATGGCCCTACAGACATAGATGCCCCCGTCAAAGGGACAGGGCTTTCTAATCTCCAGGGTCAACACTCCCTGCTTGCTGAACATGCGGAAGCGGGCATCCTCCCCCAGATCCAGGCCATTCTTGAACCAGGAAATCTTGGGCTATACATCAGAAAATGGGAGGGAGGGAGACCATCTCAGGTTGGCAGGAGACTTCGCAGGAACCTGTTGCTCTTCTAGGGGCTCCCAATGGAGTCCAAACTATGCCCAAGCAGGGATTGAACAAGGGCCCATGAGACCGCCAAGACTGTGCAGGGAGCGGAGGCTGGCCCCGAGCCCCTGTGGGATAGGAGCAGGGAATGGCTGGGGAGAGGAGCGTGGAGTTGGAAGCCTCCAAAGCCTGCCTCCCGAGTCGTCCTGCACCAGGGCCCCAAGCTCTCTACCTTGGGGCTACCCCGCACAGCACAGCAGAGGGTAGCATTGTAGCCAGCGATGACTGAGCGGTTCACCAGGGGGCGGGTGAAGCTCGGGGCCTCCGAGAAGTCCAGGGCCTTATAGCTGGGTGGCTCATACGTGATGCCTGTTGGTGATAGGACTTTGTCCGGAGAGTGCCCCCTCCCAGCTCCTACCACCTCCCTGCCCCGGCTCCTCCTGGGGGTGGCAGGAAAGGTACAGCACCTGGTCTGGGGATAAAGACAGGCTCCTTGGTGGTGGCGGCTTTGTCACTGGGCCCCACCATGTTGTGGCTGAAGACCCGGAAGTAGTAGCCGTTGCCAATGATGAGCTCTGACACCACGCAGTGAGTGCGGCGGTAATGCTCTAGGACAGTGAACCACTCCTGGGGGTGTGGAGGAAGGGGAGGCTCTGTGGGGCCCTACTTCCTGCCAGGGAGTCTCTTTTGGGGTATGCTTGGTATCTGTACCTTAACTGTGGAGGGAATAAGGTCAGGGAGGGAGGATGAGCAGCAGACCCTTTCTCAGGACAAGAGAGGGAGCTGAGGCCCAGTCTACCTGGCCCTAGGGAGGGAATATAAGGGGGGCCCAGCACCCCAGGCTCACCATGGTCTTCTTGTCAGCTTTCTGTACTGTGTAACCCCAGATCTCTGTGTTGCCATCATCCTGGGGTGGCTTCCACTCCAGAGCCACATTGAAACCCCAGGCTTCGGCGACCCGAATATCCTGGGGAGGGCTTGGCTTGTCTGCAGGAGAAAGCCCAGCTGGAACACACACCCCGAGTATGCACAGAGGACCCTGGGAAGCCCCCTCACCCCCGCCAGCCTGGCCCTGGCCTGCCACCTTCTGCAGGGACTCTGGGCATCCCAGAGGAGGAGCCCCTGTGCCACGCACCAACGATCTGCAGGACCAGCGTGGCCTTGTCCTCCATGTTCTCGATCCGCAACATGACCTGGTAGGTGCCAGAGTGGGCACGGTGGGCAGCCCGGATGAACAGGATGGTGTCCGTGGGGCTGTTGCGGATGCTCACCTCCTCGCCTGCCAGGGGCTGCCCCTCTTTGGTCCAGGTCACCTGAGGCCGGGGCTTGCCCTGTGAGGAAGGGACAGCTCACCCCCGAGCCTGGCATGACTGGGTCTAGTCAGCCCTGAGACACATCTCCCAACTAGGCAGAGATGACACGCAGTGGAGGACGGGGAGGATGGCCAGCCCTACCTGGAAAGGAATGAGGAGGTTCACGGGCTCCCCAACCTTTCTCTGGATGGTCTGGCGCAGGTGCCTGGGCAACTGGAGCCGGGGCCGCTCTGTGGGTGCCAAGTGAGCAGCTCAGCAAGGGAAAAGCTCTGCCCCCAAGGAGCGCCACATGCCACAGCTCCTCCCCTCCTGAGGCAGGGCCAGAAGGCCACAGCTAAGGAAATGGCCCTCCCTTAGCTCTCCCAGCCCCAGACCTCAGCCTCACCACATGGCTATAAGAGGCAGGGATCAGAGAGGGTGAGCAACTTGCTGGAGGTCACACAGCTAGAAGTCACAGGCCCGGATGCAAACATGGGGTTTGGGTCTCTACCCCCTGGCTGTTTCCACCCCAGTCTGCTGTCTCTTTTCCACTTTGAGAACCAATCTCTACAAGATCCATGCTCTGTCAGGAATAGAGGAGTGGGAAGTGGATCCCAGATGGGCCGATGTGATGCTGAGTCATAGCACAGGGCAGTACCTGCCCGTAGACCTGAGAGGCCCACAGAGCAGAGCTCAGAGACAACAGTGTAATGACCTACATTTTCCCTGTCCCAGAACCGGGGAGGGTCACACAGAAGATATTCTCCGAATATTTGCCCTGGGCCTGGGGCATGAATAGAGCCTCTGACCTTCCCCCATGGAGTATTCAGCCCCTCTTTCCAGTAGGGCCTCCCTGGGCCTCCCCAGTTCCTTGGATCCCAGGGGCCAGGGCGTCAGGGGTGGGCCTGTCCTGTGAGGGCCACTCACGCAGTATCTCCTGCACCGTCACGGGCTCCTGGGTGGTGACGGGGGCTCCGGGCCCTGCCATGTTGTGGGCGCGCACCCGGAACTGCAGCCGGGCCCCCGTGGGCAGGTCCTTCACCAGCACCGCCGTCTGCTCCGTCAGCCCCTGCAGGGCCGTCACCCACTCGGAGCCTGGCGGGGAAGGCCCAGGGACATCAGGCCTGCACAGCCCACCCCACCGGCCGCCTCCCGCGCTGGCGGGCCCCCGGGTCGGGGTCAGGGTCGGGGTGGGGGGTGCAGGGCCACTCACAGCCCTCCCGGCAGTACTCCACGCTGTAGCCGTCCAGGCCGCCCGCGCCCGCGCGCTCCGGGGGCCTCCACTTGAGGGAGACGGTGGTGTCCGTCACGTCCTCCACCGCCAGGTGGGTGGGCTCGCTCGGGGGGCCTGGGCACGGGGTCGGGGGGAGGCACAGAGGGGTCTGAGTGGGCCTGCGCCCCCCGGAACACCGAAGGGCCCGCACCCTCGAGCACACGGGGCGCTCGGCTCCTGCCTGGCCCTCCAGCACCTGCAGAAATGCTTCAGCTCCGTTGAAAGACATGTCTCTAGACGGGCTTCCGAACAAACGACGGCAACAACCCTCGCTAAAGGGGGCCGCACACAGGAAAACATACCCCAAAGAACGCACGCGCGCCCACACGGGCCACTCAGGCGGGACAACACAAGAAATGCTATAAACGTAGCATTTAGGGAAAAACTAGCCCAAAGCAGGGAAATTCCTGGCACCGTAGGGTGAGGTGAGTGGACTGAGAGTTAAGCAAACTGCAAGTCAGTCCCTAGAGAGGCCTGGAGCCTTCTCCCCACAGGCCCCCCACCCCCATGCTGTCATCTCCCCAGGTTGTGTGCCCCCTCCAGGGACCAGAGGGGGGTACCCGCCCCCCACACACCCCCGACAGCTGCCCTCCCTGCTCCCACGTCCTGGGAGGGACAGCTGTCCTCAGCACTGTTCCACCCTCTGGACCCCCATGACCCAGAGAGGAAACAGAGGCTTCAGGGGAGGCCGTGACCCCAGATGGCCCCCCTGGAGTGATGGAGCTGACTCTGCAAACTCCGTCTCTGAGTCCAGCCCACGATCCTTTGCACAGACCCAAGCCCCTTGGACCCCCAGGCAGTCAGGGCCCTCGCTCTGTCCTATATATGACAAACCCTGGTTGAAGGGAGTGGGGAAGAGGGGACAGATAACATTTATTGAGCACCTGCTGTGTGCCATCCTAACAGCAGTTCCATGAAGTAGATATTGTCATTACCCCCATTTTATAGATGTGGAAACTGAGGCCTAAGAGGCACCCACAGTCAGATTGGTGTGAGTCTCGGCTCCACCCCTACCAGCTAGGTGACCTCAAGCAAGTCCTTCTGGGCACCTCACTTTCTTCATCTGTGAAATGAGGAGGATTATCCCCAACTGAGGCTTACAGGAGACCCTGATGTAAATATGCCTGGTGTGGTGGCCGCCCACAGAGCATCCTAATTAGCTAACCTAATTAGCTAACCTAACCCTAAGGGGCTAATCCTGACTGGGGAGGACGCGGGGCAGCACCAGGCCAGGCGGGCTCACCGATTGGCATGAAGGGCTGGGAGGCAGGGCTAGGCCTGGACATGCCGATGGCGTTGACAGCGTAGACTCGCATCTCGTACACCACACCCTCAATCATGCGCCGGGCCTCATGGCTCAGCTCCCGCAGCAGGTCGAAGTTGAGCCGCATCCACCGGTAGCTCTTCTTCTTCTTGCGCTCCAGGATGTAGCCTGATGAAAGGGAGGTGGAAGCTCCGGCCCGGGGCCCAGATACCCCCGCCCCCCGGCCCCTGGCTCTGTCCCCATGCCTGCCGCTCACCCAGGACCGGCTGGCCACCGTCGTAGGCAGGGGGCTCCCACTGCACGGTGCAGGAGTCCTCGCCCACGTTGCTGATCTTGGGGGCCGCAGGAGCATCTGGCACATCTGAGGGAAGGGTGGATCCACATCAGCCCTGCCAGGCCCCTGAGCCGACGCTGCTCGTTCCCTTGGCACCCCAACCAACAGCCAGAGCCCACCTCCACCGCACCCCACAGACATTTCTAGAATGAGGCTCTGATCATGTCACCAGCCTGTGATCATTATGGCTCCCCACTGCCCATATACACCCTGTGTCCTAATCCCAATCCTCTCCAGGGAGCTGAGAGCATGTCTTGGGATGTCTGTCAAAATGACTAACCAAGTAGACGGACAGGCCCCCCTGCCGGGTTCCCCTCTATTTTCCCCTCCTAGCCCTGGGACAGCCAGCCTCACCGATGACCTTGACTGTGAGGTTGACCTGGTCCTCGCCCACGGGGTTCTTCACCGTGACGATGTAGACACCCTCGTCTTCCTTCTCGGCCCCCTCCACAGTGAAGATGCTGCGGTCCTTGGTGGTCTCCACACGGACCCGGCCCTCGGTCTCACACAGCAGCTGGGGGGAAAGGGGTATCTGGGGACCTAGTCGGACCCCACAGGCTTCGGGAGCCTCTGTGATGGCCCGAGATAGGAAGAGAGCTCAGGGGGCACTTGGGTGGCTCAGTGATTGAGCCTCTGCCTTTCGCTCAGGGCATGATCCCAGGGTCCTGGGATCGAGTCTTGCATCAGGCTCCCTGCATGGAGCCTGCTTCTCCCTCTGCTTGTGTCTCTGCCTCTCTCTCTGGGTCTCTCATGAATAAATAAATAAAATATTAAAAAAAAAAAAAAAGGAAGAGAGCTCAGAGCGGGGTCCGGGGAGCAGATGCAGCCCAAGTGGAAACCACTTGTGTGAGGACCTAGTCCAAACACTTTTATTTAGTGCCCGCCAGGGGCGTAGCACTAGGGTGAGGGTCTTGGGCTCTAGCTCTGGCTTTGTCTGGAGCTTTGGGCCTTAGCTGTTCTCTCTGTGCCTCAGTGTTCTTATCTGCCCAATGGAAATAGCACGGCCTTACAGAGCTGAGGATCCCGAAAGACCTCAGGTGAGTGGAGGGGCCAACTGCCCGGAGGAGGAAAAGCTGACCCAAGTGGGGCCCAGGCAGCTGCTCTTTCGGGGAAACCCTCTCCCTCGCTGGGAAGATGGGAGACAGGGAGCAGCCGTCATGAGGGCGCCCCAGCCAATGTTAAGGGACCCTGTACCCGATGGAGGCACGGTGGCGGGGGGTCCCACAGAGGCCGTGCCTGGGGCTGGGGCATAGCTAGCCAGATGCATAGGCAGAAAATAACAGAAGGCAAAGGAGCCCCATCCCACCGTCAGCCTCACTCACCTTCTTGTCAAACACCCACTCGTCACTGGCAGCGGCATCCCCCGAGGCATCAGGCGCTGGCCCTGCTGGGACCTTGTTCTTCTGGAAACAGAGCAGGAAGGAAGCAGGGGAACGGGCTGACTCAACCTGGAGGGAATTCCTGCCCAGCCCCCTTCTGCGGCCCACCTTGCCCACCTCCCTGCCAGCTGAGCACCTGTGCTCCTGCTCGGTGACCAGCTGTGCACATGTGAGGTGGGGTGGGGAACAGGTTCCCACACCCGCTGGCCCCACGTACCCGTTGTCCGGATGGGGGAGTGGAGGACGGAGGCAGGGTACCTGTGTGATGGTCTTCTGCCAAATTACAGTGGGAGCAGGGTCCCCTGAGATAGGGACATCCAGGCGTAGCTTGTTCCCAGCCACAACCACGATGGTGTCTGGCTTGCGGCCCGGGCAGTCCAGGTGGATCTTGGGAGGTTCTGGGGTGGGGTGGAGAAGGCATAAGTTGGAGAAAGGGGAGGGCCCACGAGAGACGGAGAAACTGGAAGGAGCATGTGCCCCTGCTTGTGTTTAATCACTTTGAGGTATAATTTTTTTTTAAGATTTTATTTATTCATGAGAGACACAGAGAGAGGCAGAGACACAAGTAGGCTCCCTACAGGGACCCCGATGCGGGACTCGATCTCGGGTCCCCAGGATCATGCCCTGGGCTGAAGGCGGTGCTAAACTGCTGAGCCACCTGGGCTGCCCCACTTTGAGGTATAATTAACAGAATAAAAGGCCGAGATTTGAGCACACAGCTTGATGAGTTGTGACAAATGCGTACACCTGTGCAACTACCACCCCAATCAAGACCTAGAACATTTCCGTCCCCCCAGGCAGTTCCCAGGGAGGTTTGTAACATGGGTCGCCTACTGTAGCATTTCTCAAACTGTAATTACAGGGGACATGAAGGTTCTGCCAGAAAAAAGACAAAAGAAGTTTCCGTGACCAAATCAAGTAGGAAACCCTGGATGAAACAAAGTCAAGTACATTTCTTTACCATGGGATTTAAAAACACTGAACACTTACTCTCTCTTTCTTGCTCCGGAATCAGCAAGAGGTAGAGCAAGTGTTCAGTGTTTCCCAAACTTACCTTACCATGGAACTCTTTGGGGTTTTTTTTTGTGAAGATTTTATATATTTATTCATGAGAGACACAGAGAGAAGGGCAGAGACACAGGCAGAGGGAGAAGCAGGCTCCATGCAGGGAGCCCGATGTGGGACTTGATCCCAGGACCCTGGGATCACGCCCTGAGCCGAAGGCAGATGCTCAACTGCTGAGCCACCCAGGCGTCCCATCATGGAACCCTTTGAAATGGAGTATCCTGCTCAGTGGACTTGTTTGGAAAGCACTGACCTAGAGTGTGCCTCAGCCTGGACTATCCTCCTGAAGTTAGAATTCTTAAATATCTGATAGATGTGTAATCTAAAAGCAGCGCGGTTACTGCTAAAAGCAGAACAGATTTGGGGCACCTTGGGTGACTCAGCCCACTAAGCATTCGGCTCTAGATTTCAGCTCAGGTCACAAGCTCATGGCTGTGAGATGGAGCCCCTCGTCGGGCTCTGCGCTGGGTGTGGAGCCTGTGTGAGATTCTCTCTCTCCCTCTCTCCCTCTGCCCCTCCCCCTGTTAAAAAATAATTAAAAATAAAAATAAAGACAGAACAGATTTAATGATGGAGTCACATCTTCTAATCTTTCCCGCACCCCATGGAGGAGGCATTATGAGGAGTCCCATTTTATAGATGAGGGAACTGAGGTGCCTAGAGATTACGATTGGCCTATGATTGTGAGCACTGGAGCTGGAGCTGGGTCTTGGGGTCCCTGCTGCAGGTTCCTTGCTCTTCCCTCTGTCTGGGAATGGATGGGGACATGGGTGGAGTGGGGTGCAGGGAAGAGGTCCCAAGACTCACCCTGCCTGGGCACAAAGTCGATCTTGACCTCTGCAAGAGAAGGAAGAGCAAGTGGCGTGGAGGTGGGTGGACAAAGGCAGAGCCAGCCTCAAGGGCCCCCACCGAGGCCCCGGTGCCGCTCACCCATAAAGTGCAGCTTGGCCGACAGGTTGCAGGCAAAGCCTTCAGGCACAAAGCTGTAGTCAGCCTCGTCCGCAGGCGTGACGTCGTCAATGGTCAGTTTGTGGACTCTGCAGAGAAGTGGTGGCTCAAGGGACCCCCTGGGCCACCCCGCCCCGCCCCGCCCAGCCCTCACCACAGTCAGGGCTCCCAGGGCCCTCGCCCCACCCTAGCTCAGGGGTGGTCTGGTAGTTCAAATGCTTGCTCTATTTTTGACCTTCCAGCCCCTCACGTGTTTTCAGAAGTAGACAACGTACAAGTGGCCCTTGGCTGGGCCCTTGGAGACTGAGCAGGGGCTGGTCGCACTAATCTCTGTGACCTTGGGCCCAGCACGGGCCAGCCCAGATGCTCGAGGCATGAGTAAGAGAGTGGGAGAGGGAGAGGGCCCCTGGCCAGAGCCAGCCTCCGGGTGGCCTCCTGCCCCGTGCTGGTCATGAGCTAGGGGGTACGGGGGGGTACGGGCTGGGGAGGTGCTCCAGCCTGTCTGTGTCTCTCACTGCTTCTCTGCAGGACTCCCCTCTGTGTCCTTCTCTCTCTAAATCTCTGACCTGGGTCTGTGTGTCTGTCTTTCCATCCATCTCTGCTGTCTCTCTTTTCCACTTTTCCAATTCATCTTTTAGTTTCCATACATTTCCTCTTCAATCACATATCAATTGTGTACTTCATTCTGCTCTTACTGCTTTCCAGTATCTCTTATTTCTTTTCCCAGTCATTCATTTTCACCACATACAATACACCCTAAACTCTCTCACGTCACCTCCACCTCCATCCCTCCTCACATAGAAGAGATAACAGACACACATCACGCAGAGCCAATCCAATAAAATAGAAACATACTCAAAACCTATTTTTTTCCCTCCCCACCCCTCCCCCATATTGTGTCCACCAAAACTTTGTCATAGAGCTACTTTGACACGTCTTCATGTCCTGCCCAACAACATCACGCCACCCATTCCCCTCCCTTCATCCTTGGCACCACCACACCCATTAACTATACTCACAGTTGCTCTGTCAGACCTCTTCCTCCCACCCGTGTCCTATCTACTATCCATCATCACATTACCCCCACTCTCAACAACACATTCTGTGCTTGTTACCCGCTGTCTCTATATCATTTTATCTTTTATATATTTTCATATTTCACCCCCCCCCATTTATACCCTATTTATATCCACACCTTCAGGTTCTACACTTCTCACTCTAAGATGTCATTCCATCCGTCACGTAGAATCAGTTCTTCACCGTTGTTGTCTTCCTGTCAGTGTTCAGTTCCTGCGTGTAGTCCTCACGTCCTGCGTCTCGCCGCTAATCCGCAAGACATTCTATAGAGTTCCATTTTTGTGTGTGCTTGTGTGCTTAGTCTTAGTGCGTGTAGCCTACCCATTCCCTGTGTCACCCACACCATTACACAACCTCGATATCCACCATGTCTCTCCCATGAGCACGTCACCACTCGTCACAATCCTGTATTTTGTCACATCGAATATGAAAGCTAGTATGTTTGCCTGTCACAGTGTCAATATTACTCATGTTACGTTTTATCTACACCATACCATTTTGCACACTAATCCCCCTTCCACCTCACGCTTTAGACCATACGTGCTTCCACCCAAGTTTCTCCCTACTTGCCTTCATGGCATGTATCGTCTCATACTATGGTTGAGAGATATTAAAAATCATACCACTCACTCCCCACACAAAACCTACCCCTTGTCTCTTTGACCCGATCCCTAATGAGTCTGTACTTGTTCCCATGCCCCATACTGACTCCCCCCCCATTCGCTATCTGTCCAAACCACTGTCAATTGTCTGTCTCCTCAGAACCAACTGACACGACTGCAATGCCTCCTATCCTAGTCCTCACGCTATCTTCTCTCAAAACCTTAATCAATCCTTATACCATCGTGTGTACCATATCTATTTTAGTTATTCGACTGTTCTCTGCATCGTCTAATCTTGTCGAGTATATCCTATCGAACCGCTACTCATACATCATCAATGTGCACACTGCTCTACGTATCCTCCTCTGAAAGTAAGAAATGTAACTCATGCATCGTGCTCCCTCCTAGTGAGATAAATACTTTCCATCCATCGAATACCACATCCTCCCTGTGATATACCATCGCAATTCTTAGCAATGTGTGCACTCCCATAACATCAAACACCACTAGTACACCTCGCATACCACAACCCCACTCCCCACGCACACCTATATAGACTCATCTCTACATACACCCTAATGAATCAGTTGATCGCCCATCTTACTCTATATATACTTAACTCTTGATCAGTTCCTACCTTCATTCACGCCAGCAACACAACGACATACGACGACGTGTACTCCGCACGACTCTCACTATTCATAGTGTCTCTCCTCATCCAGCTAATAGCAACCCCGCCTATCGACCAACAATTAACCGCACACCAAGATCTAGAACACAAATCGCCTGTACCCAACTCAACCCCTAGTATACTTCCATACACACCACACACAACCCCACATGCTGTCGTGCGCTCCAATCAGACGCGTTCACTCACACATACTCCTTCCCCTCATCCTTGCACACCAACTACTATCACATCCCCTCCTACTATCACACTGCACTGTACCAATTCTCAACCACCAAATCCCAATCTAAACCACCCAATCATAACCGCACACTCACCCTACTGTCTCACTCAGTTACAGTTGCATCAGCCCGCTCACGAGAACCCAAACCAGTACATACGTCGTATGACAAAAGTCCCGCCACACTGAGAAGCGCAGATGTCCTGTCCGCTCCCCATGTCCATTCGAAAGCTGTGCATTACTGTACTGTTGTGCCCAACCTTGATACTCTGATCCCTCCTGCCACTCTTCCAACCTCCACTCCCAAGATCCGCCATCACACCTATGCGTCGTGACATGTCACAGTGAGCGTCTACCATTCCGTGTCACCCATGACGCTAGTCCCACCATCTAGATCACTATACCGTGTCGTCCATCGGAGTGCCCTTTACTATAGAGCACTGACACACGTGCCCCAACGTACATTCCACTGTACTCGTGCCACCCATATCTTGTGTGTTCTCCCCAGTCAGTATATCGAGATTCCGCACACCCTACCTGCCCCATCTTCTTGAACCTGCTGATATAAGTTCTCTAGTCATGTTGCTCTCTCCACAGTCAATAGCGTCTACCTTCTACCGCACACGCCGCACCCTCACTCCAATGGCTATCCGCCTCGTCACACCTTCGCCACCTCCCTCCCCTTCCCCTGCAATCCTCCTCTGTAAGTCACTGTGATACCTCTCAGTCACATAGCGTGCGCGCAGCTGTGTTCATTTCAATTGATACACCTGCACCACACCTGTGCTAGACACTGCGTTCGCTCACTATCCTCCCGTGTCATCCAACCTCACTTACTGCCAAGTCTCAAGCGTTGAAGTATATCCACGCGTCCATTCCCTACACCTCACCACATGTATCTCTCTACTCTCTGAGTGTGTGTAATGCACTGTTGGACCCTTACTCCCTCTCGACTACTCCCTCCATCGACGTGCAGACAAACTCACTTACATGCATAGAGCTAGTGTCTTACGTCACTACTGAGCTCGCATCGACCCATTAAAAACTCCACCATACTTCAAACTTCCCCCCATCCCCATATCCGTGTACGCTTGTCAGCCCAGTGCCTGTGGAAAAATCTCCTTGTAGAGTACCCGCACAGTCATATGTGATCTACAACATATGAGTAAATACTAATGAGTAACCTGCGCGCCTGAGCCGAAGTGACGGTAGCCCTCAGATACCGTATAAGAATATAGTGTGCACTATATACCAAATTTATTCAAACCCACTTATATACCACCTAAAGACCCCACTCCATGTCGGCGGAGACTCCGCTGGTAAGACGTCCCCCTCTCTAACAGTAGCGCTATTGGGATATTATCTACCAGCTGGTCTCTTCAGGTCCCTGGTGGTTCAGTAGGAGCAAAGTTGTAGAGCGAGAGACGAAGAGCAGCCTCGGCAATGAGAATGCCCTATCACATACAGCTCCGACCGAGGATCATCATAAGTGCCTCACATGAGTTATTGCTCTCCATGATCTCCTCCTTCATGCTGATAAAAAACACAGCACTCGCACCGCTCTCCGCCCTTCGTGTATTCTCTAGAGCATCTAGAGACATCTGGTAATGTCTTGTGGATATGTCCTATACGGTGACTATCTTTGTCAGTAGTGAAAGAATTGTATATCGGAATTACTACGACGTCTGTGTGGATTCAGGCTCATGCAAGTGAATTCATGGACATAATCGTGACATCTGCGCACACTGTTTATCTCTATGTGAGACAGCACTCATGTGACTCTGTCGTTCATATGTTGTGTACTTAGGACGCACGGTATGTGTTGTTATCATTTAGTTTGCTGTTATTTGCGCCTCGCAATGTTGCTGCGACAAAACGCAGAGTTCTTGACGTGGAACTCTTGTGTAGTTATGCTACTGCACCTAGTGATGTGTCTAGCTATGGATCCATAAAGAACGTGGTCTATCGTGTACTTGCTGAGCTCTCAGTTAGTCCATCTCATGTGGTTGCATAGAGCACCCATACGCGTGAGGGGTAGTTGAGGACGCTGCGCTGTGCCTCTCTGCTCGCAAGTCAGTCACCGCTGCCACCACCTCACACTCCTCCTGGCCAACCCTAGGTTTGTTCGCTACGTCTAGCGTGCGGTGCACTCTCTCTCTGCTCCTCTGTAGTGTGCAGTGGTCGGATATGACGATAGTTATTGATCGTGAGCTATCGTGTGCAGCGTGTGACGGTAGCTCTCGTACTGAACTGATGAGCTGTCATGATCTGCTCTTATTCTATAGTAGATGTAGCTGATCGCTGAGTCTGTGTAATGGGCGGTTCCTGTGTGGTGTGAAGCGCTAGCACTAACTTTGCTGTCAGATCTCGCTCTGCTCTAGTTTGGCTTAGAGAAACGGGGCTTTCAAGCAAGAGAGAGATATCGGGAAAGATGTGGCTGGGGATCCTCGCTAGAGTTGCAAAAAGCAGTGGGGGAGGGCGTCGGCGCCAAGGGACCTAGTCTTTGCTTGACTCTATTTCACAGCACCCCCCAGGCTTTTCTTCATTGAGGGCCCCCTCTGTGCTCTGTCATTTCCCTTGTGGTGTCTCTGGGCTAAACTTTGCCCTTATTTTTTGTGCCCTTCTTTTTTGTGGACAGGGGCTAACCTGGGCATTCTTGGTTTTTTCCAACACAAGGCTGGGGTTAATCTGGGCCCTTCTTCTTGCCTGAGTGTCTCTGGGCCAAGCTGGACTCTTCCCTTCCCACCACAACCGTGTGTGCGCCAGCGCCGTCTCCTCTGGGGGGCAGGCGGCCTCACCTGTGCTCTTCTTCTCATCCCGCTTCATGCCCTTGAGCCTCTTGAGCATGCCACGCAGGTCGGTGACGCCGTGCTGGAAGGCGATGCGCTCGTACTCGGACGGCGACGCCTGCCGCAGGATCTCCCACACGTCCTCCTCGGCTGGCGCCTCCAGCCTGGAGTCCCTGGTCCGCAGTCCAGCAGACAGGCCTCAAGGGATACCCCGGCCCCCCCTCCTTGCCCTCCCCTGGGGTGGGGCTTCCTGGGGCCCAAGACCAAGGAGGCCACAGCTGCCCCCACCCCTCTGTCCCTTCCCCTCTGGTGCAGCCTGAGCTGGCCCTGGACTTAAGGTTCGGTATGGGGGAGTCTCAGTGGAAGTGGGGGTGACAGGGGTGCAGGATTCAGACTCACCTCCGGAAACTGCTGCTCCGGGCAGGACAGAAAGGCAGTGGCCATTAGAGGTGTGGGCCACCTGCCCTCAAGGATGTGGGGTCACAGCCCACAGGCCCTCACCTCCTCCCTCTCCCCTCCCCCATTTACTCTGCACCGGGCATGCACAGGAAGGACCCGAAGCTCCGAGACACCCTAGCCAGGGGGGTCCATACACGGGATGGATTTGGAGTCCCACCAGCACCCTGCTGGCCCAAAGCACCCGCCCCCGATGCTTACTCTCTGGGCCACAGCAGCAGCAGCCATAATGCAGGGTCCAGGAGACAGAGGGAGGGGACACAGAGTCAGCTGGGGGCCAGGGGAGCAGATTCCAGCTTCTTCCAGGTCCCCAGAGCCCCACTGAGTTAAGCTATCATAGACTCAGGGGTCGGGGGTCTGGGTGACCCTGTGAGGATGTTAGTCCACAGGGTACAATGCCTGCCCTCTGACTCCTCCCCACAGCAGGACTGTCCCATTTGACAGACCAGGAAACTGGTTCAGAGTTCAGTGACCGGCTCAGGGCCACACAGCTCAGGTTCATGAGAACCTCATCGCCAGGGTCTGAACTGGGGCCTCGACATCCACCCCAGGAGCTGCTACCCAGGAGCTCACCTCTTCTTCAGCAGCGAGCTGAAGTCCAGAGTTCCGGCATCCTCATGGCTGTCACTATGGAGAGGGACCCCCAGTGAGGCTGCAGTGGGGCCAGCTGGGCGGACTTGGGCAGGGGCAGGGGTGGGGAGAGGTACTGGGACAGGACGGAGCACTGGCTGGATGGGGGCCCCCTGTCATCTCAGACCCCCAAGGTTGGCGTACTGGGCAGGAAGGGCTGGGAGACGGTACCTGATACGCCGACCACTGCCAGCCAGGCTCCTGGGGGAGGGGGGGTTAGAACAAGTTCCTCACCTGCCCAGGGGAGCCAGCTGCCCCACCCCTATCAGCTTCATCCCTGCACCCCCCCACACAGCACTCCCAGCCCAGGGGAGCCAGCTGCCCTACCTCTATCAGCTTCATCCCTACCCCCACATTCCCCCCCACATCACTCTTAGCCCTAACCCCAGGGGTCCTCCAGCCCCAGCATTGGCCTCCCCCATACCCTGAGGATAGACAACCACTCACGTGCGTCGGAAAGCTGATCGGAGGTCCAGGTCTCCTGGGCCAACGGCCTCTGGGTGCAGAGAGGGAGGAGACAGGGAAGGGGCTTCAGAGGAGCCGTCCCAGAAGCCCTGGCCTGGGATCTCTGAGTGTCACACGCCTGCCCTCCATGACCCTTGAGAGTGGGCGTCTACCCCAGAGCTCCACATTCTGGGCCTTTCTGGGGTTGAGGTACCAGGGAGGTGGGGCTTTAATGGTCCTCAGTCCCTTAGAGGTGGCTGACCTCACACTCGGCTCTCAGCCCACCCTTGCCCTGTTCACGTGTGCCAGGAGCCTGGGCCACCGAGATGACTGAGACCTCAGGTGAGACCCGGGCGCGGCTGTCAGGCCCCACCCCGGCCCTAGAAGCCTCACAGGTCGCTCTCATGGCCCCGCAGGAGCAGCCCTGGGCATGTGGTCAGCAGTCGTTGGAGCAGGACCAGGCATCCTCCTCCGTGTTGGCAACTGGGGGCAGACGCAGGGGAAGGAACCATGGGGACCCCAAGCCCAGGACAGACACCAGGCTCCCCTCACCGTGGACAGTGAGATTGAAGTTGCAGCTGTCAAACTTGTCCTTGGTGGACACCTCACAGCGGTAGCCGCCCGCAGAGGTAGGCTGGGCATCTGTAATGTGCAACTCAAACAGGTAGACCTGTGGAGGTGAGGGGTCAGGGGAGACCAGGGGCCAGAAGAGGAGGCCCTTCGCTCCTAAAGGAGGCTGGGAGTGGCTGATGGCCTCTCCCTCAGGGTTTAGCTAACCCTTAGGGTTTTGTGTAAAGACACATGACTGCCATCTGCTGGCACAGGGTGGTGATAAATGATAAATCTGTGATGTCTACAAGGCAAATGACAGCCACTTAAGATGAGGCACTCTTGTGCAGTGCACAATCCACGCAACCGAACATCTTGGCCCTGCCCTGCCAGAGGCTCACTTGCCTGGGCCAGGACTGTGGAAGAGCGAGAGGAGTAGAAGCTGGGAGTCAAAGCACAGGTTCGAGGCCTGGCTCTCAGTGACCTCAGACCAGCAAAAACAACCTCTCAGCTTTGGTATCTTCATCTGTATAACGAAGGGCAGCTTGGGCTCTGATATCCATCTATCCAGAGGCTTTCCATCCTCATTGGCTGAAGAACCCCCCAGCTCTCCTGAACTCCCTGCACCCCCCTGAACTTTATTACACCCCTTGAGATTATCATGCCCTGCAAGTCCCCAAGTCCCACAGGTCCCCTGGAATTCCCCATTCTCCCCGTGTACCCGTGGCCACCTGACCTGCTTCCCAGCCTCGCCAGGTATCTTGTTTGCACCTGCCATGTGCCCTCAGTCTTAGGGTGATCATCCAGGGCTCCCCGTGCCTCTGGAGCCTCCCAAGGGCTCCTCATGGCCTCTTCCCCACCCCCCCACTCCCCACAGGACCCACCTTGCTGGTCCGGTCATAGCTGCTGTGCAGCTGCAGGTGCTGGCCGGCTTTGCTGCTCAGATCCACCCACTTGCCTTTGAACCACTTGACCGTGGGTGGCTTCAGGAGGCTGGCTCCGGCCACACGTGCTGAGAAGGTGATACTGCCACCTACAGGAGAGGGGCGCAGGGCTGGGCTTGGGAGGGAGGGCGCCCTGCTGCCCCCTTCCCCACCCTACCCTGCTGCAGCCCACACTCACCTGCTGTCACTTCACCGTCCTGTGGCCGCATCACAAAGAGGCCGATGGGGTCATCAGGGGCACCGGAGCCATCAGGGGCTGCCGAGCTCGGCCCTGTGGGTGGAGGCCTCTGAGACCTGCCCCAGGACACCCCATCAGCAGGCCGTGGCTGTCCCTGCACCGTCCCTCTCACCTTCGGGACTTGAGGAGCCTCCTTTCTCCTCAGTGGCTGAGGCCAGGGCTTCTCCGGGGGCTCCGGGAGCCTCAGCAGGGGCAGGGGCAGGAGCAGGGCCCGGCACAGTCTCTGCCTTCTCTGGAAGGGCCAGGGGCAGGGGTCGTAGAGCCACTTCTCCCCAGGGAGCCCTCCTCTTGTCCCTGGTCCCCCTTGGGCTCTGCAGGCTGCCCAGATCGGCGTGTGCACATCGTGCAGACCGCGTGCCTGCATCCTGGTGCGGCGGCCCCAACAGCACTGAGTGCCCCTGCCCCCCCAGGCTGGGCTGGCGCTCCCTGCGCACCCCCAGCCGGCGGGCCTTCCCGCACACACAGCCGCCAAGCGCCCATCCCGTCGGCAAGCAGGTGTCCAGAGGGAGGGCAGCCTTCTGCCTTATTCATCTCTGAATTTCCCCTACTTGCACGATGGCTGGGACAGGCCAGGGAGGCCGATGGGGACATTCAGAGACGTCTTGCTGCCGAAAAGAGAAGGGCATTCCTGGCAGAGGGCACAGCTAAAGCAAAGGCAACAGGGTGGAGAGGCACTTCCTCCCTGGGCGACGGACGGACGGGTGCAGGGCTGCCCCCAGAAGCTCAAACCTTGGGGAAGGGCTGACCAGGGTCTTACCCGCTTCTATGACCTTGAGGTCAAACTTGACCTTGGAGGAGCCGGCGATGACTGCGTAGGACCCCTGGTCGGCAGGGCCCACGTCCCGCACTGTCAGAGTGTGCCTTGTGCCCTCGGCTGCCAGGCCATACTTGTCACTGGCGCTGATGTCACTGCCCCCCCGCTGCCAGCGCACCTTTACTCCTGACCGCTCGGTCTCGGCCTCAAACACAGCAGGGCTGCCGGCGGCCACCTCTGCTGACCTCGGCTTCTTGCTGAAGGCTGAGACTGAGAGAGAGGCCCACGGAGGCTGCAGGAGCCCCTGGCTTTCCCATGCACCCCCACCCCTGCAGCCCTCTTTTTGACTCTGGTGATAAGCACTTTAATGCATCACCTCGTTTAATACTCCAGCGGCTCTATGAGGTGGGTGTGATTGTTACACCCATTTCCCAGCGGCTCAGAGAGGTTAAGTGACTTATCCAAGATCACACGGCCAGTAGGCAAGCAGCCAGGACTGTGTTCCTAACCTCCACACAAACTTTGCTAGATGTGTCCTAGGATAGCCCACCCTCCTTGCCTGGGGAAGCCCAGGTCCTTCTTTCCCCCACCATCCAGGGCCCTTAGCAGGGGGCACCTGAATGTGGCTAAATTTGTTCTCCAAGGGCCTCAGGCAGAGAATCAGCAACTGAGATAAAGCTGGCCTGGGGGGAAGGGCTGGAAAGGGGGTGGCCAATCCTTGCCCTGCATGACCTTGGTAAGAACACAGGCCAGGTCCCTGGGCTGTGACTTTCTCTGCCCTTGGCCCAGGATCAGGGGCCTGTTGATCAGTGCCTGTTCCTCTCCCAGAACAGAGGGGCTGCATTACCTCAACGTGGGAGTCATGCCTGCCCTGGTGTGGGGGCCACAGGGGTGCAGGCTCATAAAGCAGAGAATCTCACAGCTGAAGAGAACCAACCCAACTCCTCCTTGTACAGATAGGGAAACTGAGACCCAGGGAGGGCAGGGGCTTGCTCAGGAGCATTCAGTGAGACTGGCTCCAGTCTAGACTCAACCTGGGTTCATGCCTGCGGCGATCTTTTTCCAAAAGCCAAGCTCAGGCTTAATCTTGCTACATAAGTAGATGGGATGGGGACAGGGGAGGGGTCCTCTGGCTGGCCCTCACTCTATCAGAAGGATGGAAAGGAGAAACTGAGAACCAGAAAAAAGACCTGGAAGGCAGCCAGCCACCACTCTCGGGAACTCACTCTGAGGCCTGCCCCCCACTCGTAAATGCCCCAGCCCTTCTTCCCCACACCCAATCCCAACCCCAGGCCCAGAGCTACCTGGCTTCTTCCCTGGCTCAGGCATCTTGAGAGAGGTAACACCAGGGACCGTGCAGTCACAGGCCGCCCAAAGAGGATCTGAGCAGGACCCGTCCCCCCACACTATATAAGGGGCTCTCCCCTCCCCAGGATTTCTTATCTTCCTCCTGCCCAGCCACCTGCTAAATATAGACAAATTCCAGAGAGTGAGGCTCTTCAGGGAGATGGCAGGGCCACATTGTTCCAGGCTCGCTCTGTCCCTTCTCCCTCCAGTCCAATGTGATGGCTTCTGCCCCCCAACCTTTGGTGAGTCTCAGGGGTACCCCAAACCCTGTCTGTCTGTTCATCTGACAGGGAAAGGGCATGATAAATTGGCATGCTCACAGATCCTGGAGCCGGGCTGCCCTGAGTCCTGGCACTGCCATTTCCTTAACCTCAGTGCCTTAATTCCCTCATCTGTAAAGTGGGGTGATGACAGCAGCACCCACTGTGTAGGATTATTCTGTGAGTGAAGTGAGTTTATAAATGAAAATGCTAAATCAGTGTCAGGCACTTAGAAAGTGCTGGATGACAATGCCTCTACTCTTGCAGCTCACAAGGCCCTGGAATCCTGGGGAAGCTCAGTCCAGGGCCAGGTGGGCAGAGGGCAGTATTGGGTGCTGCCCTCACCCAAGGGGAAGAAGAAGTGGGTGGGCCTGCAGGTGAGGGCAGGAGGGAAAATCTCCAAATACACCCCAAAGTGGACGTCAGAGGCAAAGCTGACTCTTGCCAAAGTCACAAGGATTCACACAAAAAAAGACCCAGAATATTCTGTACCACCCCCCACACACTGTTCCTCTACGAACTTTTGCCTTCCCCCCTCCCCCACTGCCCCCTGTCACAGCAGAGTCATCGGTGTCTGCACAGAAAGAAGCAAACTAGGCATGACTGTCTCCAAGCAAGATGCAATATTGGGAATGGTCATTTGTCCCTCGTGGCCTGGAGGGAGTTCTCTACACATCATCACCATGTAGCCCAAACTTAGACATTTCTCTTTTTTTTTAATATTTTATTTATTTATTCACGAGGGTCACAGAGAGAGAGAGGCTGAGACATAGGAAGAGGGAGGAAAAGGAAGCTCCTGCAGGGAACCCGAAGTGGGACTCGATCCCAGGACCCAGGATCACGCCCTGAGCAAAGACAGATGCTCAACACTGAGCCAGCCCCTGGCATCCCTCTATTCCTCTTTTTAACTACCTGTGACTGTATCCCCCGCTCCTTAGCCTTCTTCAAAGAGGACTGAGCACCCCTTACCCTCTTGTGGGGCTTGGAAACCTGAGAAGGGACGTCACAGTTCAAGCCTGGAGGGCTTTTGCCCTGATGCCAATGACCCCGAGTCTGGGTTCTCTGAGGCCTGCTGGCTGCCCTGGGATGTTTCCTCACTCCCACGCTGGCTTCCGCTACATCTTGTCACTTACTGTTGGAAGCAAGATGCTTCTGGGCTTCCAGGTTCATCTTTTTTTTCTGTTTCTCCCTTTGATGGGGGCTAGAAGCTGGACCAGCTGTGCAATTGGGGTCCTGCCGCCATGCATTCTGTGAGGACGCTTTGGGGCTTAATTCCTGGTCCTGGCCCTGCTCGACAGCACCCCATTCCAGACCTGTGAGGGGGCCTAGCAGCCAGCCTGCGGGGGGGATCCGGCCCATCCCTCACCTAAGCTGTGTGACCTTGGACGGACTGGTTTGACCTCTCCATGACTCAGTTTCCCAGTCTATAAAATGGGATGATACTAGACTTAGCTCCTCGAGGTTGACACGTAATAAATGGCCAGAAAATCCAGCGTTGCAGCCACGATGATCCTCATCATCCTCACAGGAGCCACAACCTAGATTTTAAGCCTCACTGAGGCATTTTTAAAAAGCCCATGTATCAGGCGCGGGGGGCTCTGTAATGATTTATTCCCTGATAACACCCCAGGACCCCTTCTTCCACCAGCTCTAACTCATGGTGTCGTGTGTCCCGATGGTCCCAGCGCCCAGATCAGGCGGGGTCCTCAGTCAACGCCCAATGGACAAATGAGAAAAAGAGAGACCAGACAGGGGCGCCCGGACAAGATGCACGAAACAGCATAAAAGAGACTCTGTGCTACAGGAGGACTCACTAGAATAACTTTAATAACTTTCTTGAGGAAGCTAACGGGGACGAGGTGGGGGGAGGAAGAGACGCTGGAGTAGAAGGCTTCCATGTATACAAATATGATGACTTCAAACAACCAAGGTAGCGCCCCGGGTCGCACTAAGCAAGGCCCTGGGGTCAGATGCCCCGGGTTGGGGGGGGTGCCCGCTGGAGCCGGGGTTGGAGTCCTGGTGGGGGGGCGAGGAGAGGGAGTGGGTGGCGGGCTCGGAGGAGGGCGTGGACGGGTGAGGCGAGGCCCGGCCCTCAGTCCTGTCCCTGGCCCCTGGGAGCTTGCCTCCCTGTGTCCGGGCCGGGCGAGGGGTTAATGCTATGGCCGGCGGGGAGGCCCGGCGGGCCCGGCGGGGTGTGCGGGGCCGGGGCTCAGTGGGGCGGGTGGCGCCGCTCGGCCAGGCTCCCGCGGCCCAGCACCTCCCCGCTGAACTGGTAGGTGAGCTTCTTCTTGACCTTCTTGACCTCCCCCGTCTTGCCGTAGTTGCGCAGGGCGCGGGCCATCTTCTGGTAGGTCATCTTCTTGCGGTTCCCCTTCTGGATGCCCCAGCGGTGTGCGAGCGCCTCCTTGTGCTTGGACGAGAACTGGAAGGTGCCCTTGTCCTTGTCCACCCACCAGATGCTGTCCTTCATGTCTCCGCTGCGAAGCAGGTCGAGCAGGAACTGATACAGACGGATCTTCTTTTTGCTGCCTGTGGGCGGCAGGGGGTCAGCGCCCCAACCCAGGGACCTGGGGACCCAGGGACCCACCCTCCCCTCCCCCCTGGTGCGGGGCGCCCTGGGGAAGAACCGGGAGGAGAGCGTGGTCTACAGGGGAAGGGGCTCCCTCGCCCATGCCTGGCACTCATACCTGCTCACATGCAACCCAGAGAGGCACAGACACACGCCCTCAGTCACATAGATGCCTGTGTGTGTTCACGACACACTTGTGCACACGTGCTCGCTGACACACGAATAGGCACGGATGGTCACAGATGTGGTGCACACTTCGGCAAATGTTCACATGCTCAAATAGAGACACACACGCAGCTCTGTGGCATGGCTGCCATGGCCTTGGCTGGGTGCACGGGGCCCGTATATGGCCAGGGTCAGGGCTGGGCCAGACGGCTGGGCCACCCTACCTGTCTCCCCGTGCAAGAGGCCAGGCCCTGGCTCCAGGCCATCAGCCTCCCCATCAGACACCTCCAGCGGGGGACTCTGCCTCTCGCCTTCCTCCTCATCCGAGCTAGGCTGGGCCGGGGACAGAGAAGGGTATGGGAGGCACATCCGGGGTAGATAGGAGACCTAGAAAGGCAGGGAAAGAGGGTTGAGGTCAGTGAGGGCCAGTTCACAGCTCAGGGCCGCCAGGTAGTAGTGATCCGAACAAGAGAAGAGGGGGTAAGGAGAGGGTGGGGAGGCCAGCAAGGTGCAGAAAGACTTGGGAGAAGGCCGGGGAAGCTGGAGGTCCGTCAGGTTACAGGGGTCGGGCAGGGGCAGCTACCCACAGAGCTTGGGTTGTGGAAGCCTGAGGGCTGCAGGAATCCCGTACATCCTGGGCCCCCTGGATTGTGGCTGCGTGGCCGGGGGAACAGGGCACCCTTTCCCCAAATGCACAGAGGTGCCCTATGGCCTGACATTCCTGGGATCAGAGGTGGCAGAGAGGAGGGGCCCATAGGTAGGGTATGGGAGTGACTGGGGTTTAACCAGGTGGGTGAGAAGTGAGGGAAGGGCCAGTGGAGGTCAGGGAGGGATCACAGAGGTTAACAGAGGTCACTGATTGGGATTAGGGCCCATGGGGCTGAGGAGGGTCAATAAAGGGGGTCAGTGGAGATGGGGAGGCCAGTGGAGGCCAGTGTCCAGTGACTCGAATGCCGGGTCCCTGAGGGGCCGGGAGCTGGGGATTGTCAGGGGTGGATCAGGGGAGGGAGGAGATTCTAGGGGCTCTGTCCATCAGCAGGCAGGAGAAGATAAGGGGTGTGGGGTCACGAGGGCAGCCAGAGGGTCAGGAGGCAGCCGTTGGGGCTCTGGCCGCCGTTGGCGCTGTGGGGCAGGAAGCCGAGTTGAGTAAGAGCCCATGTCAGCTTCCTGCGAAGTGCTGGCCTCACCGCAGGCCCGTCCCAAGGGAGCAAGGGCCGCACGCACCTGGTGGCCGATGCCCGCGTGGCTCGGAGCCATGGGGGTGTCGAGCACGTGCATCTGCTCCAGCTCCATGTGGCGGTAGAGCTGCTGCAGCTGCGGGGGCTGCACGCTCTGCAGCTCCGTGAAGTGGTTCTCGGCGAAGCTCTCAAACTCACTGTGCACGTGGTGTGGGTGGAAGTCCCAGTAATGGTCTGTGGGGACAGCCAGGCAGTGGGGGTGAGCTGGGTGCGGGGCGGGGAGACGCTATAGTAATTCCCACCCCCCCCAAATCATGACGCCGGGCCTAGGGGGCTATTATCACAGGCCCGGCTGGGCTCAAAGTGGAGGTGCATCGTCTCACCACCCACCTTGTTAGGCACCATCCCCATTTTACAGATGAGAACACTGAGGCTGGGCAAGGTGACAGAATGGGCCCGCAGCTAGAGGCCCCGTCCCAGGCAGAGCGGAGACCTGAGGGGAAGCCTGCCTTCCCAGCAGCCAGTCTAGCCCGCCTCCCAAGTGGTCACCAGGACACGGTCAGGATCTGAATCCTGGCTCTGCTATTTGCTTTCTGGGACCTCTCCAGCCTCGGGTGGGTGACTCACTCGTAAAATGGGGATAATCGTTACTGGGAGGCTACAGATGAGTTCCTGTTGTAAAAACTCTCAGCTCCGGAGTAGGCCCTCAGGGAATACTGATTACCCCTCCACAGAGTGGTTCCTGAGGCCACAGTCACACGCACACGGTCTTGTCACATGGCCAAGGTGTGATTGCAAAGTCACACGGCTGACATTCCTCACACCAGAACTTGTCTCGGCCCACGGCGCTGCCCCTTCAAAGCCACGGCCCTGGGCGACTGTATCTGTCCTCCCGTGAGGTTGCCAGGACACAGACCCCCCTGGAAACTCCCCCTAGGTGCTTTCAGAGTCTGCGGTGCGGTGGATTCAAGTTTGGGGAATGGCCACATGCCGGCGGGAGCCCTGTCTTGGAACTAGGACATGGTTTCCCTGGACATCTTTTCCAGGAAAAAAAAAAAAGCAAAACTGCCACATGAAACTTCACTGTCTGTGAAGTTCCTGGGTACAATCTCGGATCCAAAAGAAGATGTGGTGAGAAAGTGACAAGAGGGATTTTCTCATGTGACCCAAGAGGGAGTGCACAAGATGCTAGGCCAAGGCAGCATTCCTGGAATGCTCCAGAAGGACCACCACCAGCCCTGTGTGTGTGTGTGTGTATGTGTGTGTGTGTGTGTGTGTGTGTGTGTGTGTATCTGTCTGTCTCCATTTCTTTTTTTTTTTTTTCCACACAAGTGTATACTCATTCACTCACACATCCCATAAAAATGTGGGTTTTTTGGCTTTGGACCCAGTTACCAGAAGACCTGCTCTCTAATACTGCTCTGTGGTGGCTTTGCTGTGTGACCCTGCACAAGTCATTTTACTACCCTGAGCCGCCAATTCCCCAGTCTAAAAGTCAGGGACCCGACTGGGTAGTTACAGACGTCCTGTCCACACATGAGATCATTTGAACCCACAATCCAGGCAGCCCACACTCCCACCTCTACAAGGCTACATGGTACAGAAGAGAGAAATTGCATGATGTGAGAGTCAGGCAGAGCTGGGTTCAAATCCTGCCTCTGCCATTTACTGTTGTGTTCCATGGCAGGTCATCTCCCTTCTGTAAGCCTCAGTTTCATCATCTGTAAAGAATAATTACACACACCTTATAGTCTTGTTGTGAGGGTTCAATGAGCTAATGCCTGCAAGATGCTTAGAATAGAGCCTAGCATAAAATCCCATTCAATGAATATTATCTTCTACTACTACTACTACTACTACTACTACTACTACTACTACTACTACTGTATTATTCTAAAGAACCTAGACTAGCACTTGAGCAAATGGCAGATACTTTCATGTACGTTTATCTCCTCTTCTTCCTCTCGCTCCCTGCCATCTCAGTCAGTGGCCCAGAGAAATAGTTTGGGGGGGGCCTGTTGCATTCTCCCAGAGGCTAGAGCTGGGGCCTCAGCATTGCACCATGAGGACAATGTTTTGTTCCCCCCTTACTCCCAGGGCGTAAACACAGCAGTCATTCAGCAAACAGTGTTGGGACGAGTGAACAAATGAATCATTGAATAAATCCTAGCCTCCTGAGAACCGTCTCTGACTCCTCCACACAATTATCTAAATCTGAAGGGAAAACAAAACAACACTTAATTTGTGCCGTCATCTTGCAGCAAGTTAACAGCTATCCCCTGCCTGGGAGAGTTGTCTCTGTGCCTTACAGATGGACTGTTCTGGGGGGTCTTTAAATATATGGTGAGCCAATCTGGGGTCCTCTTTAGGGGTGGATCCACCCTCTGGCCCCACTCCTGGCCCCTCCCATTTTTGCCTTCCCCACCCAGGTTGAACTGTCCAGATCTTAACAGCGTGCCTTATCCTGCCAAGCAGCCCCCACACTCAAACCCACTCCAGTTCCAGGCTTTAGAGGACCATGCAAGTGTGCAGCTCTCCAGGTGTGGGGCAACGGCCCCCTCACTGCTCTCTTTCCCTCCTGTTCCCCCTCCTTCTGTCCTAGCTCTGCATGAGATCCCTGAGCTCACTCTAGTGGTCCCAACCTGAGGCCAGGATTTCCTGTGGGGTTCTCAGTACACCTTCATCAGAGTTGGGCCCTACTTGGAGACCCAGTGAATCAGAAGCATCGAGAGGGGAGCTGGAGATTGGAATTTCACAGGGCCTCCAGGAGGTTCCTTTGTTCACTGAAACTCTGGAACCCTGTCCCAGGGTCCCCTGAAAGCTGCAAAGGGGACTCAAGGTACAATTAAGGTTTCAAAAGCCCCAATAGCAACCGCATTTACCCTTGATTTGGGTGCTCAGGCAATTATGTAATAAACCCAGTCTGGTAGGCAGAAACGTTCCAAACATGGGGCCTTTCGAAAGAACACAATACAAGGAATCCTTCATAGCGCAAAGGTCAGCACTCCTGGGCTCTTTGGACCTCATTTCTAAATGGCTGTTCACAAACACATTGCTTCACCCCTTTTTGTGCTTTCACTGGGTTACCTGGGTCATCCTGTGATATGCCTCTTTAGCACAACTCTGCTCCTCAAAAGAATATAATGCCACTTGCATATCCGGAGTTAGCTCTGGACCCTCCTTTTCATAGCCCCATACATAGTAAGCCTCAATCAATAGTCAATCAAATGATCAATAAAAATTGGCTTTTAACGTGTATTTTTACGTACCGGGAGCTATGCTGAGTACTCACACCACCTTTCCCGTTTAATCTCACCTTAGCTATGACAAGGTGGTCACCAGTATGATCTTTCTCTTTTTTGTTTTTATTTTTATTTTTTTTCAGTATGATCTTTCTTTTGCACATGAGGAAACTATGACTCAAAGAGATTAAGTCCCGTGTCCACAGACAGGCATTGGTAAAGTCACCTGTGCCTGCCTCCAGGAACCGAACTCCTACCTATCACACCAAACAACTTCTGAGAGACAAGACTGTTAATGAAAACTTTAATTAAGAGTCATGGTGATACCGACTTTACTGCCTGCCTTTATCCATCTACCCCTCACCCATCATTCATCATCTATCCTCCATCCATCCACCATCCATTCATCTATCCAGCACTGGCCCATCATCCACCCATCCATCATGCATCCATCAGCTAGCTACCCATTCATCATCAATCATTCCCTTCATTCATCCCTCCATCATCCAGCCACGCATCAATAAACCCTTTCATCTTGATCTCTCATTATCTCCCCTTTAAACCAGCTCCCGATCTGGTACCAAAGTCCCTATTCTTACTCAGTATTTTTGGTGTCCTTAATACCTGTATGTTACCAAGACAAAACCGAAATGATATTCCAAACAACTCCACACATACACAAAACTGAAGCCTTAAGTGTCATTCAGTTGACCTTATCTCCTTAGAGCAGAAATCCCAGTCTTAAGCCCAGGGTTCTCCCCAGCAGAGCAGAAGTAAGAACAAGACAGAGAAGGAAGATGAGGAATTAAGAAGGCAAGGGCTGAGAAAAAACTTTAGGAAATCACAGACCACTGGACACAGGCTCCTGAAACCCTGCTCTCCTGCACATTGCTCAAAGGAACCAGAGGTCCAGAGAGTGGGGAGCAACTTCATCATACTTGTTACTCTCTACCATTATCCTAATTATTAAGGTTTTAGTTATTTCCTCTGTTAAATAAATCTGGTGGGATTTGTATTTTATTGATACCATAGCACCTAGCAATGTGCCTGGTGTAGGAGAGACGCTTTGTATACATTTATTAGATGGGCAGGTCTGTGAGAGATGGATGGAGGGTTTGGCAGGTGAAGAGGACAATTGGAAAGATGAATGAGTAAATGATTAGATGGGTGTGTGAACACATTGGTGGACGGACGGATGGTTGGCGGTATGAAAAGATGAAAGAGTACGTGGAAAGATGGAAGGATGGAGAGGAGTCATACTTTGGAACTCTAGTTCCTTTACCAATCCCCTCACAAAAAGCAAATCCTATCACACCTACTGCGATGGCTATTATCAATAAAACAAAACAAAACAAAAAAACAGCAACAACAACAACAACAAAAAAAAAACCAGAAAGTAACCACTGTTGGTGAGGATGTAGAGAAATTGGAACCCTTCTGCACTGTGGGTGGGAATATAAAATGTTGCAGCCACTGTGGACAACAATACAGAGGTCCTCAAAAATTAGAAATAGAACTATCATTTTATATTATGTGTATTTTACCACAATTTAAAATAATAAGAATAGGGGCACCTGGATGGCTCAGTCAGTTAAGCGTCTACCTTTGGTTCAGGTCATGATCTCAGGCTCCTGGGATGGAGGCTCCTCAGCCCTGCATCAAGCTCCTTGCTCAACAGGGAGCCTGCTTCTCCTTCTCCCTGCTCTTGCCCTCTGTTGCTATCTCTGTCTCTGTCTCTCTCTCTCTCAAATAAATAAAACCTTTAAATCTTTTTTTTAAAATTTTTTTATTTATTTATGATAGTCACACACACACACACAGAGAGAGAGAGAGAGAGAGAGAGAGAGAGAGAGAGAGGCAGAGACAGAAGCAGGCTCCATGCACCGGGAGCCGGACGTGGGATTCAATCCTGGGTCTCCAGGATCGCGCCCTGAGCCAAAGGCAGGCGCCAAACCGCTGCGCCACCCAGGGATCCCTAAATAAAACCTTTAA